CCTGGCATGCGTGCGGCCCGGGTTCGATCCTCAGCACCACATACAAAACAAAGATGTTGTGTCTGCCAATAACTAAAAAATAAATATTAAAAAATTCTCTCTCTGCCTCTCTCTCTCTAAAAAAAAAAAAAAGATCTGGATTGAGAATTACACTCTAGGGCTGGAGATATGGCTCAAGTGGTAGTGCGCTCGCCTGGCATACGTGCGGCCCGGGTTCGATCCTCAGCACCACATACAAACAAAGATGTAGTGTCCGCTGAAAACTAAAAAATAAATATTAAATTCTCTCTTTAAAAAAAAAAAGAAATTAAAAAAAAAAGAGAGAGAATTACACTCTATTTGTAGTTGAAGGACAATGGGCAAACCTTATTTCACTGCCCCTTAGTTTTCTCATATATAAAACACAGTAATAAGAGACCTTGCTATAGCTCATAGCAAGGAAAAACTAAGAAAACACAAATTAAAGTGCTTATAAATTGTTAAACATTGTTATACGAACTGAAGCTACTTCTATTCATTTTTTTAATTAGGTTTTTTTTCATGTATGCTTTGCCTGCTTTAATATATATATTACTCATGTCTAATTAAAATGTTATGACACTGACTGTACCTATAACTTATCTCTCTTCCACTCTAATACCCAAAGACCTTAGAAATAATGGGTTTGATATTTCTGACTGTCTTCCAAGAGGTGAATTATCTGTATTTCATTCACCTGTTAAACCAGTAAATTATATTACTAATCCTATGATTCAGGGTTATATTACTTCATCTCTAAAAAGATCTACTTACTAACCAGGAAGCTAGACATTTACTCTCAATTACTCCAAATGGAGTTGTTGAAAAAACAGGATATACTGATATTCTAAAGTTGGAGGACAATGTGGAAGTGCAAATATAGTCCAAAGATGTGTTCTGATTGATTCTTGTAGGGTTTTATTTTTAAATATTAGTTTTTGCAGTGCTGAGGATAAAACACAGGGCCTTGTGCACACTAGGCAAGAGTTCTACCACTGAATTATAGCCCTTGTAGGGTTTTAATTTGTTATGAATGTTAAAAATCAGGAGATTTCTTATTAAAATCTGGATATTAGTTTAGGTTGGGAGATTTGGTGATTAGGTATCAGTAAGTCTGATTTCTGATATGGTCACTGTGGCTAGAGTAAGAAGTACAAGGACAGTATGCCACTGTGCCCACATTGCCACCTCTTCTTCCAAGCCTGGCCCCTGCAGTCATCCGAGTTGGAGACCATCGTTTAAATGTACTATCACATGGGGCTGGGATTGTGGCTTAGCGGTAGAGCGCTCGCCTAGCACGGGCGGGACCTGGGTTCGATCCTTAGTACCACGTAAAAAAAATAAAAATAAAGGCATTGTGTTGTGTCCATCTACACCTAAAAAAATATTTAAAAAATAAAAATAAGTAAATAAATAAGTAAATACATAAATAAATGTACTACCACAGAGATATAGCCAGTATCTACTAAGTAAATTTAGTATAACACAATTTTATTTTGGTGTACACATGCATGAATAAAATGATTGTGCATGGACAAATATCTAAAAGGATTCATACAAAACTGTATTTTTAATAGGTGGAAATGAAAGGACTTAGAATTTGTAAGGATTTTTTAAAATTACAAATAACACAAAAATTGGGCTGATGGAATCACTGCTTCTACAAGTTACATAGCTCCTTCTGGATTTCCATAATTTGTGTTCTTTTTCACTCTGAAAAATAAAGCACTGTCCAGGCCTAGACTCAGTACTTAAAATGAAAACAAAGATGTGAAAGTTACAAGAAAAGTACTTTTCCACAATATAACATCAAGTATTTCAACTCCTCAATTATGCTGAGCTAAGAGTAAGACTACTCTTTACCACAGTTATTTGGGTTAAATAATGTGTTCTTTTAGAACTTATTTTGATACTCTGAAAGATAACACATGAGCACCCAGGGACACTGGAGAATATGCAAGAATATGCATACTATACATTTGCCAGTATTCCAGAATAATCTATTTTTATTCATATGTGTTTGGAAAACAAACCCAAATGAAATCATAAGGAAAAGTTATTGATGATGTATCCTCTTATACTAAGAAACAGGAAATACATACAGTAGGTTTGGTCAAATCCTTTGGAACATCAATGTGAAGATTTGAGAACTGTACCCACTTCATGCTGGTACTGCTATGAGTGGGAAGAAAAAAAGAGAAAACCAAGTTAAAAAGCACACAGGCCCATTTTCTAGTTCAATTAGGCATGTCCAATGTATACTTACAGAAGAAAGGCACCATTATTTGCTGTACTGCTCTTAGAACTGTTTACAGACAAATTCCCCAAGCCCTTAAAAAAATAAAAAAAGTGGGTGGGAGGCACATATTAGAATTAAAGCCAATTTCCAAACCACTCAGTTTCCACTAAAAATTAGAAGATACATGATGCTTCAAATAAAGGGATATCTGATTATTTCAAATGAAGAAGTTTGGATACTTAAAAGGGACAGATTAATTTCAGAATAAATAAGAGGATAATGGTTGAAAATTAAAAAGCACTCTCAAAACACTAGAATCTCAACTCCCACAAGGAAAAAAAAATCTATGAATTAAACATGTGGACATTAAAAAAAAAAAAAAAAAAAGCATCAAACGTGACTTTATTTTCCCACTATTTTTTTTACAGATTAACTGTACATCTGTGCCAGTGACCACACAATCCCCCTGGTGGAACAAATATTTTTAAGCAATAAAAAATATCTTTATAATTTAATTTATTATTGTCTATTTAATTTAATTTATTAAGAGTTGGAATAAGTACCCTTCTTTTGAAGCCTCATGCATCTTTTCAAGCATATGCATTTCTTGGCTTGGCTAGGATAACTAGCTTATAAAGTAACTGAAATACAGTACACACTGGAACTTGCACCCATCACTAACTGCTATGCCACACAGGACAATTCAGCAATGCCAAATCCTTTCTTGTGAGCACCCCCTGGTGGAACAAAACTTTTTTGTTCTAGGAAACTTAAATGCTACTCTATACTACCTGTTTTTCCTTGAAGCTTTCCTGATATTTAAAAGTGTACCTTGAGAAAGTAGGAGCACAGAATCCTCAAAATACAATGAAGATGAAAATAACAAGTTGGCACAAGCAGAGCTTAATTAAAATAACCAATTGTCATTTAAGTGGTTTTTTAAAAAAATATATTTTAGTTGTCAATGGATCTTTTATTTAATTTACTTATTTATATGCAGTGCTAAGGATCAGACACAGGGCCTCACACATGCCAGGCAAGCGCTCTATCGCTGAGCCACAACTCCAGCCCCAACTTAAATGTTTTAAAAGCCTATTCTTATTGTTTTTCTTCTCTTTACTCAAGTTGGTGACAATTCAAAACTTTTCATATTCTCCCTTGGCTCATGAGAAAAAAAGAAAATGAAAAGGAAATTAGGCAAATACAAAGTAGCAAGAAGTATGTGCCATTCTTCACACACAATCCCAAAGAAAACTTCCTCCTTGAATCTATGCCAGTGACCACAAAATCCAGTTGTGCAAAAAAGGAGATATCTAAGGAATATGACACTTCTTAGTAATACTCTTCCTCTATAAATCTCAGCTTTTAACAGCTGCTTAAAGTGTTGTTACATCCACCAATCAACTTAAGTTCTTAAATTTTCTTTTTGCTCTCTTTTTAAAAAATTTGAGAGGGCACAATGTGGTGGCATGCACCTGTAACCCAAGCTACTTAGAAGGCTGAGATAGGAGGATGCAAATTTAAAGCCAGTCTGGGAAATTTACCAAATCCCTGTCTAAATAGATAAATATACACATAGGGCTGGGACGTAGCTCAGTGGTAAAGTGTTCCAGGGTTTAAACCCTAGTACAAAAAAAAAAAAATTTTTTTTCTTTTAAGGGCGTGCGATTGGGGAATTTTTTCTGGATAAGTTCATTTTAGTGCTTCAAAAATCTCAACTTCTAACACCATCTAAAAAACAGTGGTCCTCAAAGTGTGGTCTGAAGATTGGGGTAGGGGGATGTCTCTGAGACACTTTCAGATTTGGGAAATCAAAACTATTTTCATAATAACACTAAAATATTATTTAAAACTTGTCTCTCTCACAGTTTACAGTGGCATTTTCTCAAGGATGAATAATGTGTGATACAACAAAATGCAAAAACAGATATGAAAATCCAGCAGTCTTCTATTAAGCCAAATATTAAAGATCTCTGTAAAAGTGCAAAACATTGCCACTCCTCACGAAATCTGCTTTTGTTTTGGAGAACACACTTCCCATAAAATGTTAACTATGTTAACACGTAAAGAATTTTTAGTGTTACTCCTCCCTCCCCCTCCTGGGGATTGAACCCAGGGGCGCTCTACCTCTAAACTACATCCGCAGACCTTTTTATATTTTATTTTGAAACTGGGTCTCACTCAATTGCCTAGGATGGCCTCGAAATTGTGATCCTCCTGCTTCAGCCTCCTGAATAGCTGGAATTACAGGCGTGCACCACCGCGCCCGGCTTATTAGGGTTACTTTTTAAACGAGTATTTTTAAGATTCTCAGTTTTATTTTTGCAAACCAAAATACAGGTAGTTAAAATTCACAAAACTGAAAAATCTCTTTGGAGTCCTTATCTCCAAAAGTGGGACGGGGTCCTGTGGCTAAAAAGCCTGAGAACCGCTGCTTAAGTTTTTGTTGCTCTTCCAAAGAAACGTGTGGAGGATATCTAACCCACTCCGCCGACTTCAGAGACCCTCCTCTAAAATCTCCCAATCCCCGGGTGTCAGGAAGATGTCCCACTTTAGTTGGGGACTGAGATCTAGCGCCGGCTCAGCGGCTGACTTTTGCAAGGCAGGTTTCCGGTCTTCTCGGAGCCTGTGGAACAAACGACGTTCACTATTTTTTCCAGCCCTAACGTTCTTGTTCCTGTCTTTGCGGGACAATTAGAAATAAAACCAAGGCTTTTCTCATCACCTTCCTGCAAACAGCAGTCCGGGACGATTAACAGATATCGGGGAAGACTCCTGACCGGCTGGACAGCGGGTGGCAGCGGGAATTAACCACTGTCCCCGTCGGCCCGCCCAGTCTCCCCAAATCTCCCCTTACCTGCCAGAGGTGCCGGCACAGAGCCCCAAGCGCTGTTCGCGCCGCCATCTTGCTTCCCCGAACTTCCAGAAGAGCTTCCGGGGTCACAGGTGCGTCCTAAGACCATAGAGTTCGATGAAAGGAGAGAGTATGTCCTCGTGTTCCGCCACAGGAACAACCATAGAGACGTGATTCCTTGCTTTTGAGGGGTGGATCGGCTTCCTGATTGCAATCGCGTCTGAGTAGAATTGCTTGAACCCACGACTACCTAGTAATCAAGTTCCATCAGTATTTTCACCTCCAAACCATGCTTGTCCTATGGGGTTCTGTGAGGTTGGAGGCCAACACAGCAAAAGTTATGCTTGGAAAAAAAAAGCTACCAACTACTGAGCCCGAATCCTAACCGTTTATCTTATTGCAACAGACTTGTAGTTTTGTTCCTTAAACTTACTTTCCTTCCCTACATTAACTGGAATTCTTGTGCCCCAGATGTCTTATATAGCTCCATCTTACTAATCTTCCTAAATCATTCATTTCCTTATGTTACTCTAGTATTTGAGACAATGACTGCCTTCACCTACTAAAACAAGCCCAAATAGTGCCTAGTTCTTAATGTCCACAGTAATTTAATTTGGTGAATCGGATTTGCTGTAATAAAATTTTCTTTTATTTGTGCAGATTTCTTTATTGTTTTCCAAAGTGCTTTCACATTGGCAATTTAATGGAAAACTCGAGATTTATAATTAGGAAATCTGGATTGTAATAATCTTTGGTTTACCACTTAGCTGAGTGACTCTGGGCAAGTTTCTTTCCCACTTTGAGCTTATTTTCTCATACGTCCAATAGAGATGATAATAGATTTCACTTCAAATAGTGTCTATGAGGATTAAATGAGATACTGATGTATGATAGTTAGTACATTGTCTGCCACATAATATACAATAAATTTCATCTACCATTTGCAACATAAAGTTTCTTGTATCTTTTGCTTCACAAGGTTGTGGAGAAGATTAAGAGGATCAAGGTTATGAGAACTCTCAAAACATCTAAATAAAGCATTATTCAAATGTAGTTGTTTCTCCTCACAAGTTGTTATTTCTCCTTATTTACCCTATTTTGCAGGCAAGAGAACAAAGTAAAGGGTAGAATGATTCGTGCAACATTCCATACGTGGATGAGAGATTTAGGAGCAGAAATCAGTTTTCCTGCCCCTCCAAGTGGGCTCTGCTCAGTAGAATGTAGTCCATGTGAGGGTGGCAGAGTGGTCCTACTGCATGGTATGGAAACAGCACACATTTCACCCATGTGCACTTCGCTTGGCTCAGCTGTGCCCCACCATGGCTGACCACCCAGGGTCCTCCTCAACATTAGGCTCTCTTAATTGTGAGATTGGAAGTGGTCTATCTCAGCCAATGGGTTTTCCTGAAAGCAGCACCCCTGCCCCCACTGCCACTGTTTTGCTGCTTCTGAAGTTTGCATCAGTCTCTCAATATGACTCCTCAACTGTCCTCTGCCCCTTTGAGTAGCCTGAATTTGGAAAGTGTTCTGCAGCCACAATGATGGTAATATTACGATTCTCTCTCTCTCTCCAGATTTTACACACACACAATTTGTTAACTTAATCTCAGACATGAATTTTATCCTAATTTTATAGGTGAAGAAACAGGTTCAGAGAGGAAATAACTCACTCAAGCTTGGTTTCAACTGAACCAATAACCATCTTTGAAATCCTAGTTCAAGGCCTTCCTTTCCTACCCCAGCAGAGAGCTTGTTCTGATTCTCTGATGAGGCCCAGTTCTATTTGAGTCTCCTTTGGATTAAAGGAATCAAGACACCCATCCTCCACCACACCCTACTACAAAAGAAAACGGGTTTACTTTTAAAGAGGTGGCCCAAACTCTTCTAGGCCCCAAAGACTGTGCTACAGTCAGCCTGGGACTAATGTCCTTGCTGGTCCTCTGATGGCCTTCCTGTGGATTGATTTGTTCCTGCTCTCCCAGGGCTCTGCCCTGCTTGTTGCCATGGCTCGCTGCTTCTAGCTCAAGTTTTCTCATTTGTTCTGTCTCAGATGTGGGAATTTGATTCAGTCTCCTCATCTTTCTTGGCTAAGCCATATCATATGTCACTGACTGGCCTATTGGCCTAATGACTTTGGGTCCCATGTCAACCTGGTCCAGGTAGCTGGGAGCAAGGGGACAATCATTGTAAAGGGAAAAGGGACCTGGGGATGTAGTTCAGTGGTAGAGCACTTGCCTAGCAAGGGCAAGGTCCTGGGTTTGACCCTCATACCACACAAGGGGGGCCAGCTTTTGCCAACAGTAGGGCTGTGGACAGGGCTCTTTGACAGTGTGGGGATAGACAGCGTTCTGAAGCTTGGCCTATCCGTTATGGATCTCTTTCCTACAGCCTAGACTTTCAAACATCTGACCTAATGGAGAAGAGCAGGCTCCAGATGGTTGAGCAGGTGCATTTTGCTGTATCTGCAGAAAGACAAAGAGCACGCACAACAAAATTGTATTTTGATTGCACCAGTTCCGTTTTTAAAAGGAGCCATTTCAAAAGATTATCTCTTACATAAAAGAAACAGTCAGGCCCTTTTATGGCTGTTTTATGTAGGGATATTTGTGATCAGAGATCCCGTACAGGACTCGGGGTGTAGCACAGAGGTACTTCTTGCCCGGCATTTGCAAAGCCCAGGGTTCAATCCCTAGCACTGCAAAAATAAGACAAAGATCACTTAACCACTCATTTAGGAATGTGTTACTCAATTTCTTAAAATGTCTAATTGGGGTTAGTTTTTGTCAACATTAAAATTCATCCACATTTCTAGAACACATACAACTCAGCAGACTGGCTGTTGCCAAGGAAGGCAGACTGGGAAATCATGGAACACCGAATTGATTTGAGGTTGTGTCCCCCTGCCTGCCCCCCCGCCCCCCCAGCATTCCTGGAAGACTAGAAAGGTAATTAACAAATAGTTATTGGGCACCTGCTGTAAATTGATGCAAATGTGTGGGTGAAGGTAAGGAAGTTCAGAATATTAAGAAAGCTTGAACTTTGCTCTTCCCAACAGTGAACCTGGATCAGTTCCCAGGTACCTGTTTGTTCTTTCTGGATATTAAATTTTTTTGCAGTGGCCGGGCGATCACACGCCTGTAATCCCAGAAGCTGAGAGGCAAGAGGATAGCTAGTTCAAAGCCAGCCTCAGCAAAAGTGAGGCACTAGGCAACTCAGAGGGACCCTGTCTCTAAATAAAATAAAAAATAGGGCTGGGGATGTAGCTCAGTGGCCAAGTGCCCCTGAGTTCAACCTCAGGTACCCGCCCCCTCCACCAAAAAAAGCAAACATATATTGACATTTGCAAATCCACATATAAAATGGAAATAAATCAGGGCAGACATGGATGCTGTGGCTTACTGTAGACTCCTATAGGTAATACTGAGTTTGAACAATACTGGTTAGAGTATGTCACATCTTCAAGTGGCCCATCTACTGCTTGAGGAACAGAAATGTGCATCCGGGTTTCTGGAGTAGGGCTGGAGCGGGGGTACTTCAATGAGAATGAAATGTGACCAGCTGGCCTCTCAAACCTGTGTCAGCATAAACCAACTAGCACTTATTCAGCATTGAAAAGTCATTCCAGTGGCTAGAAAAAAAGGAATATTTAAGCCAAATGAAACTCAGAAAGATAATATTTTATTTTCAGAGCAGCTGATGCAATATTGAATCAGGTTTTCACAAATAAATAGGACAGCGTGTATTTGGTTACATTTTTATTTTGATGAATGCCCGTCTCTAGGAACTGTAATAAATTTCTAAGGTAAATGACTGGAACTGAAGTAAAATTCTCCCGGTTCTCTTCTGAAAAAGTATTGTGATAATTTTAAAAAATGCTTAACACTCAGGTGGGGAAACAACCTACAATGCCCCAGTTATTATTATTATTATTATTTTTAAGGAATGCACCTTTTTAGGACAAGTCTATAAAACATCTTTATTTATTTGTTACATATGATGTTTAAATATAACTTTGCTTTCAAGCTTCAAACTTTTTTAAACCCCTGGTAAAATAAGACTTTTGGTTCACCTTAACAAAAACTGACCTAGGAAGAAACATTTTTAGCAAAATGTTATTATAAAATTCACTAGAAAATACTGTCCTCTTTTTGCCAAAATGTTACATAAAATCCTTATTAAAAATACACACATTACAAAAGAAAAATTATGAATATGCTATACATAGTGCTTTGATATGGACCAAGGGACCTGCATTCTGGGAAAATACAGTTAAGCACACTGAATATTAAGATGTCAACTGATAATAGTGCAAACCTGAATAAGTTACATCCTGATATGGAAGGCATGCAAGTCATCTGTTGAGAACAGAACATAAAGAAGCCAGAACAGGAAGCAATCACAGCCGCTATTTAAAAATGTTTTCATTTTTATTACATTAATTTTTTTCAAAAATACTTTTCTTTACAATAGAACTCCTAGAAAATATTTACAACCTTCCTCTAATAAAATATAACAGCAGTTAAATATATTTGAAAATAAGATGGGTTTTTCCATAAAATATATCTGTTAACTTTTTATATACAAGCTTTCTCAAAGAGGTCTAAATTCACTAATGAAAAACCATCTGATAGTAAACAGTAACCGTGTTGAAGACATTAACCATTAGCAAGAAAAGTTCTTTGGGGTGGGTGGGTGGGGGACGCAAAAACACAATACATCCATGCAGGCAGATCATTCCAGAAAAAAAAAAAAAAGTAAGTGCAATATATTATACTAGGAAGTCGATTCTTTGATAGTCAAGAAATACTAATTCAGGTATTTGAACTGTCTCATTAAGGAGGAGTTCTTTGGTTATTTCAAGTCCAAGATCCTTACCCTATACTGCATGGAAAATTAAAATTAAATTGTGCATTATATTTTTTGCTGTGACAACTCAGTTTATTTTTAATGTTTAAAACTGGAACAGCAGAGCAAGTCTCCAAATAGAAGGGATACATTTGCTTTATAAACATTTTTCTGGGCATTTGGTCTTTTGATAAGCTTCTACAGACCCAATGGCAGAAACCATTCCAGGCTTACCCTCAGACCAGAAGGAGGTCACTTCAAGATCGACTGATGACATGACATTTGCAATGGTTCTGTAATAACTCTGCCACCAAGCTGGTGCCTGATGCCCAGGCAGTTCTTAACTCAGAACTGCTTAGATAAAACAACAGGATTGATTAACCTGTTGAAATGGCAGCAAACAAAGCAGTTTTTTTTTTTTTCCTTAAAGAGGAAGGAAATCTCCAAGACATCTTCTCTGAAAACAGAATGCTGGAAATGAGAAAATCTTTGTATTTTTCTTCTGTCTGTGGCTTTCCTGAGATTCAGAAACCACTGCCTGTGTGGGGCTATGACAGGTCACAGTGGGCCCCCATGAGTGTGTGCTGAATGCTTTTGCAAAGTCAAATTTAAAGGATGCTCAGGTCCTGTCCTCATGCCTCTGCTGATTTTCTGTCTGATGTCCAGCTATTACTGTGCCAGCAAAGTGGTCCAGAGTGATAGCCACCTTTCTGTGGAGCTGGGTTGCTACCGAGGGAGGGGAGAGGCCTGAGAACACCTGCTCCAGAGGTCATGTGGCATTAACACTGAAAAGGGGCCAAGAGGAGCAGATCCCCTCCTTGCCAGGGCTAAGTCCCGGTCTGACTTTTGCGCTAACAGTGGGATGGGTCAGTCTGACTCAGTTCAATAGCCCGGATATTGACATTTTTGAAGGATTACAAAGTTTATTGCCTTCAAGTACAAACAGCAACCCTGCTGACAGGGGCAGGAGGAGGCAGAGCAAAGTCATGCAGCTTTGTGAAGTCTCAAAGTGCTTTGGTAAGTGACTTGTAATGAATACATTCATTGTTTGAATGCAAACATTTAAGCAAAAGTGTATCTGAAACTATTTTTGTTGGCCTTCCAAGCTACTTCCTTCGTATTTGTGATCATGACCTGTTAGAAAACCCTCTCTTAGCTGGTATCTAGGTAAACTTCAGTCCAGCAGACACGAATTACAGCAAATTCCCAGTGAGTGTTGTTTTCATCGATCTTTCAAGTGGCACAAAGTAATTTCAGAACTCCACTGACCGTGAACAGCATTGCAAAAAGAATAGGTTCTTCTGATCTGTTTTTTTTTTTTTGGTGGAGGAAAAAGAACAATTCCTGACAGGTCTGAACAGAAAAATAACTCTTGGTGGGAAAAATGGCCCAAGGCCCCAGCATGAAGAGCGTAGCCTGCTTCACACACGCACGCACACACATACACGCACACGCACACGCACGGCAAGCTTTGGGATAGAAGGCAACCAGGATGGTTGACATCTGAAAGCAACGGAACAGGACGCCAAGTCCACTCCCTGCTGGGAATGATCTTGTGAGGATGTAGCCCAGATGAAACACCTCTTAAAGATAGTTGTGCCAATTATTTATTCCCCCAACCCCCCCAACAATTAAAAAAAAAAAAAAAAGGAAAAGAAACTGGATTTTTTTTTTTCTAAACCTGAATAAAACGACCACTTTTTAAACAGGTAGTTTAAAAGGGTTACAAAACAAGCGGGCAGTCCAGGTTTCCTGATTAATAAAGACGGAGGCAGTGGGTTCTCACTGTCTCTAAGCAACAAACAGGGCTTTAGAGTTCCGCGTCACCCTGAAGCAAAACTGAATCTTGGTCATCTAAGAGAAGATCGGTGTCCACGACCTCAGCCTCTTCCATGACGCCTCCCAGCTGCTGGACCACGTCGTCATCGAGGGTATCTGCATCCTTGATGGGCTTGATCAGACCCAGCTGGTCCAGAGGCAGGAGCCCTGGCGTCCCCACCGACCCCGTAGTCCTCTCGATTGTGGCTGCCATTTCTGCTGCGAAAGCTGCCTTCTGAGCCTTTTGCCTCTGCTGCTCCTCCTGTTGCCTGTGAGTTTTCATGTGTGCATTTCGGCTTTTGATCTTGAAGAAGACTCTAAAAATGAAGAAAAAAAAGCACGTAAAATTTACAAGGAGATCTGAGTTCCTGAAGATCCCAGTGTCCTATGGGGAATGGGGGTGCAGGTTGGACATCTGGTTTGGGGTGGCTTTGACAGAGTCCTAGGACATTCTCTTGCTGTGGCCTATCACGTCCTTTTCCTCCTCTCTAAGCATTAGAGGAAGAGGAATGGGAACAGGAGCACACTGATGGCATGATTAGGCTCCTTCCCAGGACAATGCCCGAGGCCTTTGAGAAGGTCTTTGGGTCCTTCTGGGGTCTAGAACAAGTGCTCTTTCTCCTCCTTCAGCCTCTCTGCCTCCACATCACTAACCATGCCCTCTCCAACAGAGAAGCCCTAGATCATACTATCGAGCTGTGAAAGTCCCCATCATAAACAACCCAACATCTGCCCTGGCCTCTGTCCCCGTTCTTCCAGTTAGGGTAGTTGAAGGATCTTTCTGCACATAGTTGGTGCGTCCCCCTTTCTCTCCTCTGTCCTCTCTAATCAGCCTCTTGTTTTCTCCACTTCAACCTGTCTGTCCTTCTCAAGGTCACAGGGAACCCTGTACGGTCAATTTCAGTGGCCTCACTTCTATCTTCTTGTTGTTTGACTTCTGAGCTGTATCAACACGTCTTTTCATTGAAAACTCCTTCTTATTGGCCATCATATTATAATTTTCTACTAAGACTAAAAGTGGGTCCCAGCTGGGGGTGATTATGCCCTCCCAGGCAACACTGGGCAATGTCTGGAGACATTTTTGGTTGGGGGAAGAGTTCTTCTGACATTAAGCGGACAGAGGCCAGGGATGCTGACAGCATTCTACTTTGCAGAAGAAGCCTGTTCCCCAGCAAGTAATTACCATATGCAGATGTCAAGAGTGCTAAGGTTGAGAAGTCCTAGGATAAAAGGATAGCCATCATATTTGGGAGGTTATTCTTAACCAGAGGCCTGCAAACTATGGTCAGTGGATCAAATCTAGCCTATTTTTTATAAATAAACTTTTAACAGAATGCAGCCATGTGGATTTGTTTGTTCTGTTTCTGGCTGCTTTTGTGCTACCAGGGCAGGGCTGAGTAGCTGAAGCACAGACAGAGTGGTCTGCAAGGCCTAATGTATTTACTATCTGGAACATTTTCCAGAAAAAAGTTTGCCCAGAAGGGAGACTATGTTTATGAATAGGGTAGCATAAGTACTCTATTATTATTATTATTTACTTCCAAGTTCATAAAGGATAAACAAACAAACAACAAACCCAAAAGCCTGATTTCTAAAGCCCAAGTTAAACAGTGTTGATGAATTCCATTTAGACATAATGAAAACTGTTTAATGTAATAAACATAATTCCAGCAACTAAAGGAGGCATCTGTGAACATTTACCTAATATCATTCCCAGGATGGAAAACCACAAAAAGTAGTTCTATTTTCCATAAAATTTTAACTGGACTTTTGGTAGAAAAAGAACCCAAGCAACATAAAAATGAGGAAAGTTTTAATCGTGCCACTGAAAGACAGTCATAAAGCATGAAATACAGGTTGAATATCTCTTATCAAAAGACTTGGGCCCAGAACTGTTTCAGATTTTGTGTGTGTGTGTGTGTGTGCATGTGTGTGTGTGTGTGACTATATATATATATTTAAAAATATTTGTATATACATAAAAGATTCTTGGGAGTGGAACCCAAGTCTAAACACAAATTCATTTGTTTCATTTATACCTTACACACATGGCCGGACAGTACTTTTATACAACAATTTTTAATGATTTTGGATTTCAGAGTTTCAGACTAGGTATGATCAATCTGTAAGAATTTTTGTTAAAGTGTCCTTTGTCTCCACCTGGTGGAATAAGAAGTTATAACCTGTTTGAACAGAATAAGTGGAAGGTATGGGCTTCTCTCAGAGGGGACTGGGAAGACTCCACTGTCCCCACACTTCTATTCCCAGACAAGTGGGAGAGAACTGAGCTTGGGGTGGTGTAACCCTCCTCCAAGCAAATAAGCTTGATGATCAGTCTGTGGACTCATTCAATCTGCAGCTCCCTCAATGTGTGTGTGTTGGGGGGTAGGGGAGAAGATGACGTCTTTTCCATGCTTTGAAAGCACAGAGGAACAGACCAACACCTAAACCCTCCTCTCCCATCCCTGGCTCCACAAGGGGTAAGGGAGATGTGGGTCCAGTGCTCTGTGGTGGGTGCCCCAGAACTGAATCAGGTTTACACAGAAGCAGCTTGGCCTAGAAGCTAAGTACACAAGGCTGGCCCAGACAGCGTGCTTTGTACCCCAATGTGGCCTAAACTTTCCGTGCCTTAGTTTCAGCTTACTAAGAGTGACTAAGAGCACCTGCCTCGTAAGGTATTCTAAAGAGTAAATGAGTCAATACATGCAAAAATTCTTTTAAAATAGTGCCAGGCAAATAACGAGGACTGACTGATTGATGGCAGCTACTATAATGCTGCCGGATACATTTCTGTGAGGATGTGGAGGGAGAGGTCTCCAACTGGCTTCACTTATGTAACTAGAGATGCTTTCTTGGCAATTTCAGCCTCATCCTGGTTGGTGTCTCTCCAGGTGACATTTCTTGTGTTTGAGGCACTGGAGGTTATGGGAAGAGAAACTCAGTGAGGCTCCTGAAGGATCGGTATGACCATGAAATGCCCTCAAGTCACTCACTGGGAACTGGAACTCTCCTAGAATTCCATGAGAGAACTATGCACCTTACCATCAATGATATTTTCTTCCTAAGGTAAGCAAACAAAGCAAACCAAAAGGAAAGAGTAATAGCAGGAACCCAGGCTGTGCCTGTGGACTGGCTGGGTTCAAATCTTGGTTCTGTTCTTCACTGGCAGTGTGGCCTGAGGTAAGGCATTTTACCTAACTTTAAATCCTTATTTGTAAAACAAGGATAAAGACAGCAAATGCATCATATGAAGTTTTTGTGTGAGAACTGAGTTCATGTACATGAAGTAAGTACTCAGTAAATGTTAGCTGTTTTTATTACTACCTACTGTCAAGTTTCCCCTTTAGTTGTTATAAACTATCCCTAAGAGGGCAGGGATAACAAATAGGTTTTATCCATGTATCAACTCTAATCAATTGGTTGTATAAATTTGAAGCATGATCATCAAAAGAATCTGAGGCCCTGTCTTAATGTGATAGCCGTGAGTGTGGTGCTTGATTAGTGATGTCTGCCCTGGGAACAGGAGCGAGCGGTGGTGGAAGGCATGTGATGTTTTGCCCACCTCTGCTATAGAGAGCTCCTGATTAGCTGTTCTGGAGCCATTCTCAAAAAACTCAGCAGGGATGCAAAGCTAAGTGACATTAGTGAATACAGTTTGGGTGTGCACGGAGAAAGTGGAAATTGGCATTCCACACATTTCTGCAAAGAAGTGAAGTTTGTCACTAGAGGTTTGCTCTCTGAAGATGCTTGTCCTTCTAGGACACCAGAATGGCCATTTTCTGAGTCAGAGAGACGGTCCACCTTACAGATTCTAAATATGGCATGAAAGTGATTTGAGACTCTAGGTTCTTCCTCTAGCTGATGAAACCTCAGACTGTGTTGGCCTGGCCCCTACAGAGCCATCATCCACTGTGGTTCAGACCTTGGTTCAAGTGCACCTACTTGCCACACTCCTTGCAGGGGAAGATGGTGGTGGGGTCTGTCTCGCCACTGGTGGTGCTGTGAGAAGGTGAACTCTTCACAGAGCAATACCCACTCTGGGTGCCGCCAGGCTTCTGCTTCCCAGAGGGGACAGCACCTCGAGTCTTGGTCACCTGGTTGGTGCCACCATGGATGCGGGCATGGCCATTCAGTGCCTGTCGGGAGCTGAACACCTGGGGAAGAAAGGGAGTGACATGACATCTACAGTCCTGAAAAGGAAATTAGGGTTATTAGTTACTCATTGGTAAAACAGTGATACATGAAACAGTGTCTAATGACAGGCACAAGCGTTTTATCTAAGCAAACTCTGGGCTTATGCCACAGAAAGCCAAGCTCAAATCCCACAACTGCAAATGCTATGCCAACCCAAACCCCATCATTGTCATAACCTGAGAGGAGAGGCACCGTGGCACATGCGTAAAGGACAAAGGCACCATCTCAAATTCAGGAGACTGGGGGTCTACATCCAGCTTGTCTTAACTCACAGGTGGCTCTTAGGCCATTTCCCTTTGGGACATCTCATTTTTTCCCCCATATGTAAAACGAGGGGGTTGGACCAGCTTTCAAAACTTTTTTTTTTTTTTTTTTTTTTTTTGGCTAAAAGCCAATTCCTTCCTTTTTTATTAAAGAATTAGGTCTTACCCCAAACTCAGGTGAAAAGCAGAGATGCTCTGGCTGAAACGGAGCAGACCAGAATCCAGCCCACTTACTCAGCCCTGTCTCTGTCCAGGAAGCTCTAGCACCCCCAGGAAGAGTGGGAAGGACATCGATGAGGTGCTCTGGCACACTCTCTACCTTATGTACAGCCTCAATCAGTAGCCCATTGCTTAACCCCCTCCCACAACCCCCAGTGCTAGGGCTGGAACCCAGGACCTCATGTGCTGGTGCTTTGCCACTGAGCCACACCCCAATCTCAGAAGCCCATTGTTTAAGCAGTGTTTAAGACCCCCACATTTCAATACAGGATAATACAAAGGGGGAAGAACCTGCAAGTCTTTTTGAAGATTCCATAAAGCAGGGGTTGTAGCCTCAGCACTACGGATACCTGGGGCTGGGTGATTCTTCACTGTGGGGACTGTCCTGTGCACTGCCAGATATTTAGCAGCACTTCTGGCCTCTACCCACCAGGTGCCAGTAGCACCTCCATAGTCCCGATGAAAATGGCTCCAGACATGGCCAAATGTTCTTGGGGGAATGGAATGTTCTTGGGTCCTCAGTTCAGGACCACTGCAATCCATACCCTGAATCCCAAGAGCCCGGACTTCCAGGTTGTGAAAGTTAACAGCTAACAGGGAAGCCCATCAAGCTGCTCAGCTCTAGGGGCTGCTCTGTGTTCATCCACAAGCCGTGTTTATTGTCATACAGAGAAAAAACAAAATCTATCACTGATCTGACAACTACAGCCTCTATTGTTATGCAAAGAAAAAAACCAGCATGCTTTCCCCACTTTGATTTAAAAAATTCATTAAAAAATATCTGTCTTGCTGAGCTTTTCTGATGGGGCTGAGTAAACGATGACTTCCCACTCAGTAAAAAATTTACAGTACACTCTAACTATGAATTGAGGAAGTATCCAATTTCTGAACAAATTCACCAAGAGATGTTGTCATTTAAAGTCACATCTTAATCATCCCTGAACTGAAGCATTCCATACAAAATGGCAGTGACAGAGTGAAGAGGTTGGGTCATTAAATAACCCAGATGGAAAGAAGTTGGCAGGTTCCATTCTCTTCACAGCTAATGCAAAATGTGTACATTTTTTAAAAACTTTTTTCCTTAAATGTAAATCAATACATTTCTGCTTTAGGATATGAATATTTTAAAGACTGTTGCTTCTTTCATCTAAGTGACAGGCTCAATAAGCAGCATTTGATACACTCTATATTAAACAAACATAAGACAAGAGCACTAACTTGAGGACAAGGGACTTCACTGTAAAGGAACAGCATCCTCATTTTGGGATAATACTCTAGAATTTGCCTGTCCAGGTATGCCCGGCTTTAAGAAACCTGATTTGGGAAAAGCTCCCCAATTTATACTAGTGGGGGAGGCAGGTGGAAACCTGAAGTCCAAAAGAACCTTTAAAATTTTCCTTTAAAATATGCATGGAGCCTTTGATGGTCTGGTACAGCTTCTGTAAGGCCCTCCTTTAGTGCAGGGAATGAGTCTAGGTGGTTACACAGACTCCCTTTCAGGTGTTTACATAATTAGTTTGCTAGGTCAATCTTTCTGTCCCCACAGAGTACAAAGACAAACTTTAGCTAAATCTTTATAACAACCTTCTCAAATTTCAAATTAGTGACATTTGAATTAGTAACACTTTATGGAATATGAGATGCAAAACCTTCCAGATAGGTAAAACTACAGGCAGTGGGGCAAGTAATTGCATTTATAAAAGGGTGATCCTGTCTGGAGGTGCCCTTGTTCATTTAAATGCACGCCGACAGGGCACGACCTTGGGTGACAGGCAGCCTAGGAGGTTCAGAGGCACTAAGAAACAGTGGGCTTTCTGAAGGCCACAGCTTGCTTTGAAGTTTTTCATTTATTTATTTTTACAGTACTGAAGATTGAACCCAGGAGCACTTTATCACTGAGATACAACTCCAGAGACAGAATCTGCTGAGTTGGCCTCAAACTTGTGATCTTCCTACCCCAGGCTCCTGAACTGCTGGGATTATAGGCGAGCTCCACTACACCTGGTTAGTTTTGTGTCTTTCATTTTTGTGCTGGGAAATAAACCCAGAACCTTGAACATTCTAGGCAAATGCTCTACCATTGAGCTACTTCCCTAGCCCTGCTACAGAACTCGGAATCACACACAGCCTGAGGACTGAATGTGTGTGTATGTGGTACTGGGATTGAAGCCAGAAGGCACTATCACTGAACTACATCCCCAGGCCTTTTTATTTTGAGACAGGATCTTGCTAAGTTGCTGAGGCTGGCCTTGAACTTGTGATCCTCCTGCCTCAGCCTATTTAGTTGCTGGGATTACAGGCATGGACTATTGAGCCAGGCTAGGGACCTTCTTTATGTCCTCTAGCCATAGCATTATGCTTGACAAAAAAATACATAAATATCTTGACTTAATGAATAAGAGAACTATGGCCACATGGAGTGGCCTCTACCAAATTTTCATTGCTCAAAGTATAGCCTTTCAAAAATGCATCATCTCTTACAGTTAGGGGCAGCTGCATGGCCCTCACTTGTTCCAGATCCCTGGACAACACAGACACTTACAGCCCCACAGTTGGGCATTTCACAGATGAAGGAGCCGGAGGGCTGGCCAAGGGCCTGCAGGGGTGGTCCCTCGGTGGGAGCCAGGACAGGGACTGGTGGTGGCTCCGGGGACTTTGGGGGTTCACTCTCTTCTTCTTTTGTGGATTTCCTGTCTTCCTCCAGGTCCTCCTCCTCTTCCTCTAACTCTTCTTCTTCTTCACTTGTCTAGTATTAATAAAAGCAAGAAGGGGACATCCCCACATAACATTTTTAGTGATGAACAGAATTTACAGATCAGTAGATCAGCGAGGGGCTGGTGCTGAGGCTGTGGTACTTTAAAAAAAAAATTTTTTTCTGGTACTGGGGATTGAACCCAGGGGCACTTTCCCACTGAACCACATCCCTGGCCCTTGTTATTTTTTTATTTTGAAACAGGGTCTTGCTAAGTTGCTGAGGCTGGCCTTGAACTTGTGATCCTCCTGCCTCAGCTTCCTGACTTGCTGGGATTACAGGTGAGTGCCACCATGCTTGGCTGCTGGGTCACTTTCTTTCCACACAAGGAATGGCTGACAGAGCCCGTAGGGCTCAATCTCTGAAAGGCTGGTCTCTGGACACTTGGGAGTTTGAGGTCAAGGAAGTCTCCCTGCTGTGCTTTGGGTCCCCTCATCCCTTATACAAAATTATACTGTGGCAGAGAGGAGAGATTTCTGTATCTACAGATTCCCCTCCTTGTTGGAGATCATCAGACCTTACAAATGACTAAAACTCAGGTAGGCTGTCCTGCTCCTGAGGACCTCTTTCCCCTCCCAACAGTGGGAAGGGTGTTTTCAGGCAGCAACAGCACTGTGGAGCCCCCTCTGGAGAGGGACTATAGAGACCCATAATGATTTGATTTATAGGCTTTATATCATACTTCCAAGAGAGATACCCAATTTGCCCTGTGATGCACGGAAAGCAGGCCTGGCTCAGAGCTCTCCTCCTCCATTCTTAACAGAAAATAGAATGAAAAGGAGAAAATGGAGGGGAGATTCTCTTTTATTTGTCATGTGCTTTTTCTTTTTTCTCTAGCTGCGGGCAGAAAGGCGTGTATTCGATGTTTCTGTTTATTTATTATCTCCTTCCAGAGGCATTTTTTAAAATAAAAAGAAAAAAAATAAACAAGAAACATTTTCCATGAAAATGTATCCTCCTGACTACTCTGCTCCTTCTCCACTTCAGAACAGGAACCACACAGAGAATTAAACAAAGTTCCCTCCCTGCCTCAAGGTTAATAAAAGAGCAAGTTCCCAGAGCAGCCTGGAGTGGGTGCCTGGCTGGTTGGGATGGGACACAGGGATCCAGGAGCCCCTCATTCAACCTCTTGCTTAACTAACTACTTAATTCTTCTCTCTCTGTCCTTGTGGGGTGGGGCAAGGGCTGTGACCCAGGGAAAAGGCATTCTATGTTATAGTCCCCTCATTTCAGCTTATATTTCACAGTTTACAAAAGTGTGCAGTAACAAGAGGCTGTAATATGTCACTGAATAGGCCATAAACAGTCCTCCCATTTTACAAGGGAGGAGACAAAAGGCATGTCGGGCTGCCTCTGCCCCCAGCAGGTCATTTGTCCCTACCAGGCCCTCCTCACAAACCCACTGCTTAGAGCATGTGGTCCAGTCTGCTTTTCCCTGGAGTGACGTAACTGGGTAAAACTATGATTCTTAGAACCCAGAAACTCGAATTTCCAAAAAGAACAATTTCTGAAGAGTAGCGGTACTCTGGGATCCAGTAACCACAAACATCCTCCCTCCAGTCTGGTTTTGGGGTGTGTGAGAGAGAAAGACAATACTAGTCAATATGAGGCATCTAGCACCCTCTGACTGTTTCAGTATTATCCACTGGTAATTATCATGTATGTGCACATTTGAAATGATGTATTAACAAGGTATATTTAAGAAATGGTCCCAATTTTCTGTATGGTAATTAAGATTATTAAGGATTATATTTGCTGGAAGACTTCAATGAACACTGATGTTGGCCTTATACATTTTACAGAGTGGTGCATGATATAAGCTGTAGGTCTCTCATGGGTACAGAACATGCAAAGGAGAGTTCACTGAGGTGGTCTTATTCCTATAGGAACCCACTATTTTTCAAACCCAGAATTTCTGGCAACATTATGTTATATCCAACTCTAAAGGTTTCCCCCATTTCTTTATAGAACTGGGATTTTGTGATCTCAAATAGTAAGTGGACCATGGCCTACAGTTTGGCATTTTAAATGAATTAAATAATAACTTTTAATGAAAATGGTTTCATGGTTACTTGTTGTAATTATAATTTTCCCACAATGCCATTTTTTGGCTTAAAAACTCTTAGAAGAAACTCTCCATGTAGCCACAAAATTACAGACTAAATTATTCCACACTGTGATTATGAATGCCTCAGGAATTTAGATAGATTTTATTTCAACTGGCAATCTATACTAGTTCACAAAATGATTTATCATCGAGCCATATGGCCCAACAAAGTGACTAAGAGATGCAAAGATAGGAGGACAAAAATCCTAACATGTAGAACTCTGTATCAACAAGTTGGCCACTTTATGATGTATTGCAAAATGAAACATGTAGTAATATTCCCGAGTTAGAGGAAAGTGGTCAAATACAGGGTGGGGAGGAGGCTGTATATTTAATATGGTGCCCAAACTTTGAGTACAAAAAGTTTCGCATGGAGGATGGTATTTTTTACTTCTCAGGCATGCAAAGGAAATTCACATGATGAAAAATGTCAGCAACCCAAATCTGCTCAGATAAAAATCTGAGTGTTATGATCACTAGTGATAATGGTGACAAGGTATAGAATACTTGTACCAATCAAGCAACACACACACACACACACACACACACACATACACACTTACTTCTAGTTGTCACAACAACCATGTAAAAACTCTTTTTTTAAACAAATGAGGAAATTTGCCAGAGAAGTAATTTTCCCAAGGTCACATGGCTGATGAACTGAGATTCAAAATCTTGCCTGTCTGATTCCAAAATCTCAGCCTTCTTCATCCTTTGGTCCTGCCAAAAATGTCCTCAGGGGGATACTGGTCCATCTGTAACTAGCCTAGAGATCCTAAACTCCCTAGCCATTGAAGCTAGCTGCTCCTGGCCCACTCAGGCTCCCTGCCCTTATACCAGGGTTGTTTTCCAAAGTCAGTTAATTGCCTGGGATGGTTCATTGGATTGTGTTGAGTTCTGGTCATAGTTAGCCCCAGATGTGCCCTGAGTGGGGAACATGAGCATGCATAGGGGCAGCACGGTGTGGGTAGCATGCTTTCTTCCAACCTCCTTAACAGAAACCCACACCCCTATAACTCCCTTCTGCCTCCAAGGGAGGAAGGGCCTTGCAAGGGCTCAGGATGGAAGTCAAACTACCTTAGCTGACCTTGCTATGCTGACCTCCTGGCCTCCTACGCGAGGGTTCCTTACAAACCCTTTAAGTCTTCAATAATCGCTGCGCTCCTGGGTGTGTTCCTGTGCGTTCCATCCAGGTGAGGGAAAATGCTCATCTGTTCTTTAATAAAACACTGAGGTTACAAGAGCAGGAGAGTTGTCCCAGCTGTGCCAGACCGGCCGAAAGGACAAAAAGCAGGACCATATCCTAGAACTGTGCTTCCCATACCTTCTCAGCCTTCCCTTTCTTCATCTCTACTTGGCGAACTGTGCTTAAAAGGCTGACTGTGCCCATGATGCCCATGAAAGAAATGGGAGCACCCTGCTGGCCTTAAATCAAGATTTTCTTGTTTCTTTGGGCCTGAGTCATCTCTGCACATAAGCTTTTTGCTCTTCTTAAGCTCATCAATGAGGGTGTGGATGCTCCTGACCCGGCCTGATACTGGCTCCTGGGGATTGAGCCCAAGAAGGTGTGGCCTCCTGGGCACTGTCTTAACCCCCACTCCTTGTCTGAGGCTAAGTGCTGGCCTGGGCCTTTCTACCCACCTTTAAAGCAACACCAGCCAAGATGGGCCTCTGCCTAACATGTTCCTAGTGGCACTCCTCTGTCAACATCCCACTGTTCATTCCACCTCCCCCAGGGAGTTCAGAGGGAATGGTGCTGTGAACCAGAGTGACTCCTACCTCAGAAAAATGTTTACTCACTCACTGAATGGCTATTTATTGTTTTGGCAGTACCATAACTGCACATTATCCTAGGCATTTCCTATCACCCAAGTCTAAGAGACACCAATTTACCTTGGGAGACTATATCTATTGACTTTGCCCTCTCCCAAAACATGACTCAGATAGAGCCCAGAACATTTCAGAATTGGAAGGGACTTTCCAAATCACTGAAATCACCTGCCCTCTTTTAGGTCAGCAGGTCTATAAGTTATGTCCTAGGTCTCCAAGGCCAAGCTTCTTTGTGCTTCCTTGTTTACTGTCTATTCTGCTCATTTGGAAAGCAATGCTGTATGACCTTAGGCAAGTCCTCCCTTTCTGGATCTCAACCTTCTGCCTGTGAAATGATGGGGCTGGATGAGCATCTATATCGAAGACATTCTGGTTCTCAACTCATACTGCTTTTAAACACCCTTGGGGTTCGGGGTGAAGTTTCCACCTGTATATGTTGCATGTCCCAACCAGAATATATACTCTGAGAGGTGGGTGGAGAGAAGGCAGATGCCATTAACCTCCTTGCTGTTTACATCCATACTTGTTACTGTTTACCTTGTGGGGACCAATAGCTTTTAGTTGACTGAACTAGAGGAGGCCACCCTGTTTTTTTGAACGTTCGGCTGCAGATGAGCAAGAGGATATTCTGTTATGACTTCACAACTTAAACTGAACAAAAGCCCTGGTCACAGGAAATCCTGAATATGGAATACTGCCACCTCTGATTTTTTAAAATGGCAACACCAATCTAATATGCAGTTCTCTTATTTTCTCTGACATTTGGGCCCACCAATAAATGTATCTATGCATGTGTATTCCACAAGCTAGGATCAATTCTTAGCTAAAATGCATTATGAGCCCAAATGTTTTTATACTTCTCTAAGAAAATTTGCATCTGACTGTTCTTAAGTATTCCACAAGGGACTCAGGCTCCAACAACACACTCACCAACTGGGTGACCATGGCCTCCTTGCTTAAACTCTATGTCTTACTTTCCTACCTTACAGAATTGGTATTAGATAAATTGTATTGGACTAGATGAGTCAATAATATCTGCAAAGTGTCTGGCACAATGCCAAACACAGAGAACATGCTGTTTAAATTGCTGTTAAAGAAAATAACCCATATATGTGCTAATAATACTACTGGGAGCAACTGGGACTAAGAATATGATTATAAATATTCACATAGTGCATGAATCCCAGACATTTCTGTAGATGGTGATAAAGACTATAGTTTAGTAGTTTGTTCTAAGACATAATTTTACATACACATACATGATAGATAATGTTTTCCACAAAGTGGAGAAAGGAGATTTCCCCTGGATATGGATGTAGTTTATAAGGCTCTCAAGTGATAGTAATTACCAAAGCCACACACATAGGGTTCAGAGACTGCTTCCATCTTAGGTCTTTAGTATGTACTTAATTTTAATATGCAGAAAACTTCAGATTGTCTGCTAATGAAGGAAATCAAGGCCGGGGTTAAATAATGATGGAAAGATTAAGATTATCCACACACTGCTACCCACTTCTGTCTGACTTATCTTCATGGCAAAGCCGAACCAATCCTAGCCACTAACTAACCTGGGGTTGGGGTGGGAGTGGGGCCAGCAAGGCAGCAACTGACTTAGTTGCCTCACTCACCACACAGTCGTCGATGATTTCTGCCAGTCGTGTCCGGTGTTTCCGCCCTAACCGCATTATCTTCTTCCACGTATAGTAGTACTCCACGCACTGAGCCACCGTCTTCGACTTCACCTGTCAGGAGAGTGCGTTTGAGATGAGCTCCAGCAGTGGGCAAGCTTTTTTGAATATTTGGTTTTGTTCAGTCACTAATAGGCTTCTTCATTCAATAAACAATGAATACACCAAAAAGTGTCTCTCACACACCTGATCTCACTCCTCACCCCTGCAACTCTGGTAGCCCCTCCTAGTTTCTTGGGTACAATTCCAGAATTTTCTTTATGCAGGTTCCAATAAGTGCAAATCTGAATTTCTCCCTCCACACCTTTCCTGACAAGAGGTAGCAAACACACTGGAGGGTTTTTTTTTTTTTTTTGCAACTTGATTGCTTTCACAATGACACCTGGAGAGTCTTAGAGATCAGTTCAGAGACTTTCCTTTTCTTTTTTTAACCCAGAAAAAGCAGTTGCTTTTTTTTTTTTAAATTTTATTAGAACTTTATAGTTACACATAGTACTTGGGTTAGCAGTTGTTTTTTCATTTAACATGCTTAGGTGTGCTTAGCTTTCTGACTTGTTGACCTTCAAAATTTATTTATAAACAGTGTGTATTAGAATAGGAATATAAGGTAAGAGTTATGATGATAGAGCTTGGTTTCTGCAGGAAACAAGTCTTGCCCTCTTCATCCCTCAAAAGGCAAGGGTGGCTGGTCCTTATTCAAGAGGTGTGGAACTGTAAGCACTCCAGATATTCAGATTTTGATTAAAAAAAATTTGGAAAATTTGCATAGACTTTACTGGTTCCACATTCTCAATCTGAAAATCCAAAATCTAAAATACTCCAAAATCCTTAGGGCTGTTCAACCTGTATATGTATTTAAAAGTGAAAACATGCCTTTATTTAAGCGTGGGCTCAGGTGGGGCTTAATCAGGTGGGTTTTCTGGATGCAGAATAAAGGGTGGCCCTATCCTCAGAGTGGGGGTGATGATGAGATGAAAAGCCCTATTCTCTTCTAGGTTGTCTTTTTCAACATGCAGCTGACATCTAGGATTCTTACTAGAATCACCTCAGGGAGTTAGGACACTGTCCCAGAGAGTCGTGCTTAAATACCTGCATTGGCTGGTGTGGTGGCACACTCCTATAATCCCAGTGGCTTGGGAGGCTGAGGAAGGAGGATTGAGAGTTCAGGCCAGCCTCAGCAACAGCAAGGCCCTAAAGCAACTCAGTGAGACGCTGTCTCTAAATGAAATAAGGCTGGGAATGTGGCTCAGTGGTTGACTCCCCCTGAGTTCAATCCCAGGTACCAAAAACAAACAAAACAAATAAACATCTACATCTCCTGGCTAGCACAGCACACGAATTCACTGTCACAATGAGCACAGGTCTGGACGTAGTTTGTCCTCCAAAGGTTCAGAAGCCAGGATGGTGTTAGGAGACTGTGAAATCTTTAAGAGGTGGGGTTTGGTGGGAGGACCTAGGTCACTGAGGGTGCTCCCCTGTGAAGGGATGAAGGTGACTCTCAAAGAGCAAGAGCGAGTTGCTGTAAGAATGCTCTGGCTTCCTGCCTCAGGACAAGACCTCCCATTTCTGCATGTGCTCCTGCCAAGATGTCATCAGCTGTTAGGCTCTCACCAGAGGCTGAACCAACATGGTTGATCTTACGCTTTCATTCCCCAAACTATGAGCTAAATAAACCTTTTTTCTTTATAAAGTTTCCCAGCTTTAAGTATTTTGTCATAGTAATGAAAAAAGCTGACACCAGATTGGTCCTGGGGAAAGGTGGCTCAAGAAAGGTGGGAGCATGGGAACCTCTCAGCACATGGGGCAGCAAAGGAGGTAGTAGCAGTAAAGGCACGACAAGGCCTTGGATTAACAGCTGGAGACACTTTACCCTAGGACACTGGGACCAACCAGGAGGCAGTGGGAGCTGTCACATGTAACCCTGCTCTCTGTATACTTGGAACATCCTTAATTATCCTTCATAATGCAATATGGCCCCATCATTCATCAGTTTGTTGAAACACTGAAACTTTTTAGCCTAAAATACCTCTTAGTCAGTTAAAGCCTACTGAGTTTAATATCTATTGTATGAAGTGTGACTTTTGCTTATAGGAAAGTTTATTTTGCTATAAAATGTTGTATGTGGAAGGTATTTTCCTGCCATCTAACTTCAGACACTTTGCTACTGGATTGGCTACGTGTCCTCCCTTCCACAATACCCCAGGAGGATTCTGTCAGAAACATAACAGATTTGTTACATAGCTTGGTTAGATACGTCTGATATAAATTAGGTGAACTGTGAACCAGACGCCCCAGTTCTAGTTCTTCTGATAGAGTTAGGAATTACACATTTTTCTTAAGATAGACCCCAACACCGCAGCATCCAAATAATCTGTCTTATTTCCCTCCATCTTCTCCCCTTCACCCCAACATTTAGGCTAGGCCACCTATAACAACTACCTGTCTTCACCAGTGAGCAAGAAAGATAGGCTTTTTGTGAGGATGCTAAACCTGCAAACCAAAATTTCTGAGTACAGGTGTATACTGAGTATGGGTACACAGTTTTCCAAATTTAATTTCAAGTAAGCAATGGAGGAAATCATTCTTACCATCTTCTGTACAAAAATAAAGTCTTTGCTGTAAGTGGCTAGTGCTTTATTAAACAGTTTTCTTTCTAGGGAGGTCCACTTGTCCGTACCTACAAGGAAACAAAAAACTTTATAAGAACAGCTCACAGTTCTCCCCACCTTTAGTTGCTGGTTTGTTTAGTTAAGTTATACAACACAACAGCCTAGCAAGTTATATAATGCATATCAAACTTCTGAGAACAAAAAGCTGGTATAGTGTAATGGTTAGCTGACATTGGGGTTCCAAATTGCAGCTATGGCCTTGACCGTGGCAAGTTACTTAAACTTGACTTAGTTTTGTTACCAATGAAAATAATTATAATTGTTTCTAGGTTTTTGTGAAGGTTAAAGAACATAATGCACAAGCATGCCCAGCTTTAATAACTGGGAAATAGTGAGCACTCAATGAATTTTAGCTTTTACATAATTATTGTTTAGCTTTTACATAATCATTATTTTCTCGAGAGTCAGCAGTCATGCAGCAAAGCATTCTTCAAGTGTGGATGGATTCTCGATGCTCACAATCTAGTGCAGAGACAAACCAGTAGGATATTGAGTTCAAGGTAAAAACTGCAATTTTGAAGGTAAAGGTGAGTTTCAATGGGCAGAAAGCAGGAACACCACACTGGGGTCAGGGCCATAGGGAAAGTTTCAGGTAGAGAAAACACCTGAGTGGAGTTTAAAGGACGCACAGAGGCAAGTTGGGCAATAAGGGGATGACGGGGATTCTGGGGAGAGGAAGCAGCAGGCTGCAAGCCAGAGGCAACAGCGATGCTCAATTCATCTACTCATTCATTCACTTGAGATAGATTTACTAGGTGTCTACTATAAGCAAACGATGTGCCAACAAGAAAGAGCTAGCACACATGCCAGGTTCTAACTGTCCTATATCATTAATCATTAGGTTCTACTAACAGCCCTGTAAGACTGAATTACTATTGTCTCATTTTACAGATGAGGAAATGGGTCTTCCATTTATTTATACTAGACCACAGTCTAGTATGGTTCAATCACAGGGTTACGGCAGAGGGAAGGTGGAGGAGGCTGGAGAGGTGAGAGGGACCAGTTCTTAACAGATCTGCACTGATGAGGGAGTCTACGGTGCTGGACTGGTGCAGTGCCTTGCTGGTGAAATTAAATATTCATGTTTTTCCTCCACAAAACAGAAAGTCAGATATGCTCATACATAAAGAATGGTACTGGCTTGTGTGGAGTCAGAAATGAAGCCACCATCTAAAGGTGCTTGCTATGGTTTGGACATGGTTTGAGTGTGTTCTCCAAGGGTTCATATGTTAGGAGTGTGGTCATGTTAAGAGTTGGTGGAAACTTTGAGAGCTGGAGGCCTGTGGGATGCCATTACTAGCTCCTCCCCAGTCACTCTCTGGCTTCCTATCTCACCATGGGTTCTCTTTGTGTGTGCTCATATCATGACGCCATCCCACAAGTTGTGATGGTACAAGGGCCCTTGCCAGAGGCCAAACTGATGGCTCCATTCAATCTTGGACTTTTAATCCCCAAAACTGTGAACTAAGTACCTTTTTATAAAAAGTACTCAGCCTCAGCTATTTCACTATAGCAAGAGAAAACGAATAGAGGACTTCTCTTCTGGAATCACTAAGGAAGGTTCAGCTACTGTGGGTGGTTCACAGAAAAATCAACCCCACTATTTTGGCTTGCCACATTCTCAACATGTCTGATTCTTTGGATGGTTCATGGCTGGGCCTTTGACATTCTTCCACCACTTCTCAGAGCTCTGGCTCCCCAAACCACAGAATCTTTTCTCCCATTCAGGGCTAGTCCAAGGTTTCCATTTTGCAACTGATGGGTGTGGAGAACAGGAAACCTGCATTGTTTCTTCTCTTTGAAGATTCAAGTAAAATCAGCAAATCAGGTGAAACCACTTTGAGCAGGCAGGTGCCTCCTTAAGTGTTGGGCAAGGATCCTAGGATCCTTGAGGGAATAAGTGCCTCAGTGATGTAAAAACCAACACTTTTTCTGTGATTCCTTGATGGATCCTCAAGCCAACGCTCTGGCTCTAGACTTAGAATATGGTCTCTGTAGCTGGGCTAGTTCAAACCTCTACAAAGCACAGTAATTACTCAATTTCTTTGGTTTGCAAGTTTATCTTTTTTACTTCTAGAAGGAAAGAAGCTTTGCAGTGAAACCTAAGCAGCAGGAAGCACATTCCACAGGTTCTGGAGGCCTGGACCTCTTTGGCTGTGCAAACCCAGCAACAGGAAGGAGAAGAGGGGCTTGGAGACATCTTGTGGAGTGGACATGAGCAGAGAAGGTTGGTGAGGTTTGGAGCTCTTCAGCCATTCTATCACCATTCATCAGATTCTTTCCAAAATCCCAGGCCTTGAGGTCCCCTCTCCCAACTGCTCCCACGAGTAGAACAAAAAGAGGAAGAGAGAGAGGATTAACCAACCAATTTAGCTGCCTGGGCTGGGGTTGTGGTTCAGAGGAAAAGCATTTGCTTAGCATGTGTGAGTCACTGGGTTCGATTCTCAGCACCACATGAAGATAAAATAAAGGTATTATGTCCACCTACAGCTAAAAAATGAACACACACACAAAAAAAAGTGTGCTGAGGTTGTGGCTCAGCAGTAGAGCACTCACCTCGCACATGAGGGGCCCTGGGTTCGATCCTCAGCACCACATAAAAATAAATAAATAAAATAAAGGTATGTGTCCAACTACAACCAAAAAGTAAATATTAAAAAAAAAAAAGCACCCCCTGTTCCTGTGGATGGAAGAATCACAGTCTTTGATACAGGAGTCCCCTGTGTTTCTCCTTTGCTAGCAAAGCAAGAAACCTTAAAAAAAAATTAGCTGACTGACCAAAAAGCCATGGTTCCTTTTAGGTGTCCATAAAAATAACAAACAGAAAACAGGAATAAAAATAAATAATAATAATGGAAGATTACCACAGTGACATGTCACACCAACTTATAAGGTGGTCAATCAGATGTGAAAGCACACACCTATAATCCGAGCTACTCAGGAGGCTGAGGCAGGAGAATCCCAAGTTCAAGACAAGTTTCAGTAACTCGGTGAGACCCTGTCTCAAAATAAAAAATAAAAAGAGCTGGGATGGAGGGGGGAGGTGGCTCAGTGGGTAAAAGTGCCTCTGGGTTCAATCACCAGGAAGAAGGAGAAGGGAGGAGAAGAGAGAAGGAAGGTGAAGAGGGGAGGAGGGAGGAGGGAGGAGGGCTGGGAGACGAGGAGGAGAAGGAAGAGAAGAAGAGTCACCACATGTGGAGGAGCACACCTGTAATCCCAGCTACTTGAGAGACTGAGGCAAAAGAAGTGCAAGTTTGAGGCCAGCCTGGGCAACTTAGTGAGACCTGGTCTCAAAAAATAAAAAGGGATGGAGATGTAGCTCAGTGGTAGAGCACCCTCAGGTTCAATTCCAAGTACTGCCCCCCAAAAAAAAAATTTAAAAAGAGCTGAGGAAAACCTCTCTCTACATCAATGAGAATCTTTCCAACCTTAACCAGACTGTAAGTTTCCTGAGTTAGTGTAGAGTAAGACCCAATAAGACACTCACAGGGCCATCAGCCTTGTAAAGCCACTGTCCTATCTCTCCAGTAGACACATTTTTCTCCACTCCATGTCAGGCTCACCACCTGACTCTGGTCCAAAGAGCAGCCGGTTTCCAGGTCATTCTGCTACTGAAAAGCACGTCCTTTCATGTTTCTACATAGCCTATCAGCTGCCACCTGACAGGAGGCAAACTGACTTGCTGGCCCATCTGTTATGGGGGATCCCCAGGCCCCGTGGGAGAAGGAGAGCTCGTGGCGGTTTCCAGGGCTGCTGCTCTGTAATGGGATCTTTCATCGTCCGGATCCCAGAGTGCATTTTGCACAACTTGTCCTGAAGAGGAGCGGGCTGCTTGCTTCCTTTCTTCTGTGCCATTGTCTTACTCCGAGGCTAGGGCAGGAAGCACAGCCTATAGAGGAAGAGATGGCTTCTCTGTATAATTCCAGGATCTGTGCTCACATGCGAATGACAATGCTGTGTGTGTGTGTTCAACAGGGCATCCATGAAGCAACGGGCAGAGGCTGGGCCAGGCAACAAATCCATTCTCACATGTAACACTACAACTGGCCTCCCGATCTCAGGACTGCACTCAGGGACTGAGACTCCACCTCTGGGCTCCTAGGTGAAATTCTCAAGCCAAAGCCTGGCACACACCAATAACATCTATCTGAATGCACCTCCGAAGGTGTGAACGTGATTCCGCCATTTACTCCTTTCATGACCCCAGGCTAGTCTACTTAACTTCTCTGTTTTCTCATCTATGACATGAGGATGGTGGCCATTGCCCTGTGATTGATTGATCCTAAGTAGGTGCCCAATAGATGCTCTGGATCTTCACTGGCCACTTGGAGAGAAGATTCCAAATCAGCCCAGGGTCACAGGCCACACACTGCCCCTCTGATGTGTGCCCAGGGGCCCTCATGAAGACCACGGGTTCCTGTGTGTGCTCCTTACTCTGAGTATTTATAACCCATGGCTGCTCCTGTTACTTCCCTCTTCATCTACTCCCTGCCTCCAAAATCCCTCTGGAATCAAACATCAAGGAAAAGCTCAGGCGGCTCTGTGTCCTGGGGTCTATCAGCACACAAGCACTCTCCTCATTCTTAGACAGGAATCTACGCCAACCTTTCTGGGATTCTGCATCTTGGATAAAGTCCAGGATAAAATGCAAAACCGAGGCAGGGGACTGCCACAAATCCTCCCCTCTCCTTCTGTCCTTCTTCTCTTGTAAGATCCCTGCTGCCCACTCAGCAGGCACCCCGGGTTAGTGGGCTGACATCCCCCCAAACTCATTTGTTCCACCTGGGGATTCCTGGCTATTGGGCTATTATCAGCAGGGGCCCCTAACAAGACGATTAAGGCTAATGACAAAGAGCCTAATTAACTGGATAAAACTGGTGCTGGAACAGTATCCAGAGGAAAAATGCTCTGAGCTTCGGTTGCTGGGAAACAGGCTCTGGACTGTGGCTAATTTTGGGGCCATCTACAGTGAACCCAGGCAATTAAAAAGAGACATGGAGGGGGAGAGAAAGTTTGAACACAGTATCTTTTAGACGGCTTTTCTGTCTTCCCTCCAGGATTTTAAAAACTTTTTTTGATGCTGTTATTGTAGTTACACCAGAAAGACAGGTTCGTCATAGTAAAAGAGGTTTATTTCATACCTGACTTCCCCTCTCTATAGGGTTTTCATAGTGGGTGAAAGGCAGATAATTTTTTTAGGGTACAGGATAAAGCAGGCTGCTACCAAAGTTTCCCCTAGGGACAAAAGGGAGGGAGGCCCCAATCTGAATCCATATTTTGAACTTGTCCACTAAACATTTTCTTCACAAGTGCTATGACAGGCAAGGCAAGAGGACAAGTGTTAATTCCATTCCTGCCTTGAGGGGACTGTGTCTCTATCCAGCTAGAGACATGGGCAAAGAATGCCTGAAAAATGAAACCACAGTTGTGTTTCTTACAAAGTATTCTCTTGAGAATGTAATTCTGTCTCCTCATCAAACTGGGGCAGCTTCCAAGGCAGAGAACAGGCCTCCCCCAAGGAATGGGTGTTTCCTCTAGGTTTCCCTCATCTCTAGGGCTCAGGGCAGGGTTTTAGGACTGTAGGTGCCCCAGCTGTGGTGGAAGCTGATAGTCTCTATGACCCTGGCCAAGACGCCAGGGCCAGCTCTCAAGCCCCCTCCACTTTGTGCCCATCTGCAGAATGACCAGTTCAGTGGAGAAACCAAGGATTTGGATATTGCAAGCCAACTAATCACAACCAGGCACCTCCCTGCTTTGGTTTTCCCACACTTAGACATTCCCCACCCAGTGCTAATTGGGAATCACTGGAAGCTACATATGGGTAGACAGTGTGGGGGGCAATACCAAGAGAGGGACAGTGAGCTGGACCATGTGTCCTTGAGTGAACTGAGTGCTGGGAGCCACTGCCGCAGCACCTTCCTCTGAGAATCTTGTACAGGACTCAGCTGACCACGGTAGTAAGCAGCCCACCCCAAATGGTTGGTCCTTCATCCCCTGGCATGTCTCTTCTGGGTCCCAGCATTGATCACTTTTTCCTTTTCTTACTGAATTGCTTGGGATGGAGTGGGAAAGGGAAGGTAATGAGCAAACCAGGAAGTGATCTTCACAGGTCTGTGTCTCTTTCTCCCCAAAACTTACAGCCTCTCTCCCTGAGCTCAGCCTTGCTGCCTCCCCTCCACGGCACAGATAGGCCCTGGAGAGCTGACTTCTTTCTCTCGGTAACTGGAAGCCTAATGTACAATCCCAGGACCAGGAGTTGGGATGGGTGATACTGGCCATAGCTGCAGAGCTGGAAGCTAAAGGAGCTCTAAAAGACAGTGTTCTGGTGAGGCTGGATTTGAGCTGACAGTCCTACTGGGGAGCAAGTAGATGGACCTCAACAGAAAAGCCAAGACAGTGTGGGGCCATGAGGGGTGGGATTCACCGCCACCAAGGAACCAAACAAGGGGGGTCAGGAGTGGAGGGAAGGAGGTGGGATATGGGATGGGGTGGACTCTGCCACTTCCTCTACTGCTAAGGGCATGGAGTTTGGTCAGACTTTAGGGAGCAGTGACCTCTGCCCTTTCTGTTCAAAATTCTAGAATATTCTCTGGGGCCTGGTCTGCAGTCACTTCCTGGAGAAAGCAAGTGACTAGCAGATATAGGTGAGCACTCTTTTCCTTGGAGATGCTGACCCTTCACACCTCAGCTCCACCTCTCATCTCCAAGGTCTCAAATGAGTCCAGCAAGCAAGAGTCTTTCCCTGTCTGCCTGGGGAGGAAGGGGAGGGCAGATGGGTAAGAGATTAGTTATGGACCTCCAACCCCAAATGATCAATTTATTTTAGCAGAGTTTTGGACCTTCTGGTTTTACAGTCTTGGTAATGTCTTGGTGCTTTTAACTTATTTTGCTTGGGACTACATGGGGCTTCTAGCCCATAGTTTTCCAGTCTTTTTCATGTCATGACACGCATAAAAATAATATTTATTTGACACACTGGGAAGGACTGGAGGGGAACTGTGTCATATGAAGTTGTTTATAACTGGACATGACTAACCCTGAGGCTCTGGCCACCCCAGCCACACTGAGGCAGAGGGAGGCAGCATCTCAAAGCCCACAGTTGGGAAGCTCCTTTTAGCCAGTCCACTATGCAGAGAAGCTTGGGACAGGCTCCAGGAGGCTGGACAGCCTGTCAGGGCTTAATGGGCAGCAGATGATGGTGGAAATTAAGAGAAGATGGGACTGTTTCCATGTCAGATTAAAGAGAACTCCCACATCTTTCAACCCACTCTTGGGACAGACAGGAAACGATGGAGATAATATTAAGAAACTGAATACTTAGGACACTGGTTCAAAGATAGATTTCTTTTCTTTTTGGTGGTACTGGCAATTAAGCCCAGGAGTGCTCACCATTAAGCTACATCCCCAGCCCTTTTTCTTTCATTTTTAGACAGTCTCATTAAGTTACCCAGGCTGGACTTGGATTTGCCCTCCTCCAGCCTCAGCCTCCCCAGTAGCTGGGATTATAGGCGTGTGACACCACACCTGGTTAATGAAGAAGCCTGGCCTGGGCTTGCTGTAAATATTGAGGGACTTCAAGCCTTTCCACCTAGTGACAACAGGCAGAAAGCCAACTCATGTGTAAGGCAAATGGTGGACACTTCAGTATCTGTAAAGAAGCCTTCACTTGCCAGACTTGTAATCCCAGTGGCTTGGGAGGCTGAGGCAGGAGGATCATGAGTTCAAAGTCAGCCCCAGCAAGACCCTGTTTCTAAATAAAGTATAAAAAAGGAAAGGGGATGTGGCTCAGTGGTTAAGTAACCCTGAGTTCAAAAAAAAAAAAAAAAAAGAAGCCCTCACCTTAGGCCACATCTGGTCACCTGTACCAAGGACTGGAAAGAGTATTGCTAGGTCTGAATGCCCAGACGTTCAGCATCTACCTGGGCAGGTTCTGCTCAAGGCACCAAGGAAACCCTCAAATGACTAAAAATCAAGGAGCACTTGAGATTCAGCCCCTCTGAAATATAGAGAACCAGGGCAGAATTGTGAAGACCTCAGAATGAACAGGCTTACCGGAGTTAATGGACATAAAGATGTTGACCTCAGCTTCCTTTGTCACCTTTCAGATTCCCCAACTAGTTTCCCTGTCTCTGTATGCTTCACACTCCATTCAAATCTCAAAGGCATCTTCTTCCCTCTTACTGATAATGCTGCCATTAATCCACACTCTCCCCAAACCCTGTGTGTATGACGTCTTTCTCCTGTCATTAGAGTGACCCAGTGTTTAAGAACTGCTTCCTCCTCCAAGCTGCACAGCAGGACTTTGTCAATGTCTGTCACAGCCACTGTTGTGTCTTAGTGCTCAGCACAGTCCTTTGTACACAGTAAATTTTCAATAAGTAACAGATGAATAAATGAATAACAGCAGCTAATAGAATGTGCCATACCTGGGGCTACAAATACTACCTCTTACCTTTCCAACAACTCTACGAGGGATAGAACACGAATCCCATTTTACCGTGGAAAAAAATTTAAGGTTAGCGGTCGAGTGCTTGCCTAGCATGTTCAAGGCCCTGGGTTCAATCCTCAGCATTGCAAAAAATAAGGCTGCAGAAGGCCAAGGGACTTGGTCAAGGGGTATAGCCAAGGTCTGGTTCCAAATCCCTGGGGGCTGCTGATGGGCACCAGCTCTGTATTGTACCCTCTGTGGCTCTATCCTCACAAGTTCATGGGCCTCACTTCCACTTGTGCAAGCACATTCTACTATCACACAGGTCTTGGCACACCCATGAGAATCAGGAGTGCCTACCTAGACAAAGGCCTCACAGTGCTGGGCCAACGACACAAACATACCTATCTGCTGGGTCCCAGGAGGCTTGAGATCACAAATGGTGATTAGGACAAAATCAGCGTTATTTGTTATTAAAAATTATGAAAAAGCAACACAACCAAACATGCAAGCAGCCTGCTTTCAGGAATCAACAGGGCACAGAGCTCCTGGCAACCTACCGGCATAGTGGTAATTTGCTAAAGGATGACATTTTAACCTGACTGGCTTCTGCAGCAGCAGCATTTCCAGAGCAGCCTGTGGATCCAGAGGAGAGAAAAGGCAAGAGTCAGTGACAGGTCTGTGTATCCTAGGGAGATCATCTACCCAAAGGGGAAAGCGGTTAGCCCTGCTGAGCCCAGGGACGGAGGCACTAGAAAGAAGAGAGAGACTACTCTAATTGGAGCTTGCTTTCTATTCAGCCCCCAACAAGATTCCTCATTCTGACACTCTCCCCAGCCCATGCTGGCAGTCAGCTGGACATGTCACACTCAGGCAGCGACTGAGACTTCACTCCTTCCTAGGTGAGGGCCAACCAACCTCAGAGAGACGGGGGTTGTCTCTGGGAAGGGCTTCAAAGGAATGAGTGGGAGATTTGTAATTGTATTACACAAAAATCATGTCTCATTACAACTGAATGTAAGCAGCTGTATTAGGAATAACTACAAGTAGTCCCCCCAAAAAGCCTCACTAAGTAAATTAAACCTTTTAGATCTGCCTCGATGGGTTTTAAAAACAACACTGCAGGAAGTGTTTTTTTTTAAAGTGCAGTGGCGCACACCTGTAATCCCAGTTACTCAGGAGGCTGAGGCAGGAGTATCACAAGTTTGAGGTCAGTGTAGACAACTTAACGAGAACTTGTCTCAAAATAAAAATTTAAAAAGGGTTGGGGGTGTATCTCAGTGGTAGAGCACTTGCTTAGCATGTGTGAGGCCCTGTGTTTAATCCCTGTACACAAAAACCTACCACCACCACCACCACCACAATAAAACACTGCAGGCAGAGTTGAGCAGTATATGGAGCAAAGCCTGGAATCTTGATATTCTAAGTGTGACCCACAGATCATCAGTGCCAGATCACTTGGGAGCTGTTTAGATGCAGAACCTTGGGTCCCACCTCACACCCGCTGGATCAGAATAAGCATTTTAACAAGATTCCTCAGATATTCTTGTGCACATTAAAACTTTGAGGAGTGCTACTCTGCAACCCTAACCTCAAAGGGTGAAGAAGAGTTCTCCAACTCCTCCTAAGTGTATTCTTATTCTACACAAGTACTTGAAGGGTATCATGGCATTGAGACATTAGTTTACTGTTACATTTTCATAAAATCTAAAAGCAGGAAGCTGGATCCAGTATGAGGAAGACCATGAATTTATACAGAGAGGAAATGAGGTTACTGATGGAGTGATCTAGCCAGAAGGCAATAAGGGGACACCTGTAAAACTGTGTTAAAGATGGAAGAATGGAACCAACTGGTGAACTGTACACTTTTCATTGGATTAGAGGTAAAAAGATTCTGTAAACACCAACCTTTGCTAATTTTCATAGCAAGGAGGACCATCTGCAAGTGTGACAGGCTACTTTGGCAAACTCTTGTTTCAATAATGAGAATAACTTATACACAAGACAGTAATAGTTATTCTGATATGAAATATAAGACGGATGAAAAGAAATTCTAATTTCCTAAGACAGATGTGCTCACAATTATTGCTTAAGTACAGATGTGTAGAAAAGAAGTCCAACTGGAGTTTTTTTTTTTTCTGCAGGCTTTAAAATCCTGACTTCTCACTGAGATAAGCAACACAGAGGCATGTGGACTGGCCATCATCTTACAAACTGTTTGTATGGCTCATGGGGCAGTACAGACACTTGGGGAAATACTATTCAGAATTCTGATTGTGACGCCTCCTTCTCATGGTTCCTTACCATCACATCACCTTTGGCCTCGAAGAGAGAGTGCAAAGCAAATTCAGAATTGGTCCCTCCACCTGGCAATGCACTTGAACAGCACAAATTCAGAAGATTCTCCACTGTTGGGAATAAAGAGAACCAGTGCATCAGAGAAAGCTCAGCATCATGGAAAAACACATCATCCTGGAGCCGGAGGTTCCAGTGAGAGCAGCAAGCTTCACCCACCCAGCATCTCCCTTATGCCAATACCTCGCTGCTGGAGGTCCTGGTTTTCCAGCTCTGGCCAGGGCTTCCATACCAGTGTGGCCTTGTGTGTGTCCTGGGCCAGGGCAGAGACATCCTGGAGTTCTGGGATCTCTGCTTGGAATCTCAAGCCAATGTTGATGCGTCTTTAGTAACAAGAAGAAAAACAACAGTGTGGTCTTGAATTTGATGGCCTAAGCCAAGGGCAACTGTCAGGAACTTGAAAAAGAAGGAAATCAGTTCCTTCTGCAAGAAGAACGCAGGGGCATTTCCTCACAGTGTGACCCTAAGATTCCAGGCATGGCTTCTTCACTGAGATAAGGAACAGCTTTAAGATTGGGGAGAATTGTTAGGGGGAGCGAGGGAGCAGGCTCGAGCCTTTCTAGTGCTCTGTAACTGGAGTGGAAAGGGGGCTAATTCAAAGAGATCAGCTGCCCAGAGCATAGCTGATGGTACCATTTCATCAGGAAAGACAGATGAATATAAGGTTAAGGTTTGTATATAATTTTTTATCCCTTTCAGATCACTTTTACATACATTATGCTATCTGAGCCTAACAGAGATCTGTGATGTACACAAGACAGTAATTTAATAAGTTATTTAATAAGAGTCAACCCAAGTCTAGAAAGGTTAACTTGATACAGATAAAAACCAAAATGGGCCAGAACTGGAGTTTTCTGATTTCTGACTCAGTATACTCCACTACTTAGTGCCTTTTCTGTGGTTATCCATTGAAAGAACTTTTCCCTTCCCTAATACAACAGTGCCTCCTTATCTCCAGTTTTGTGTCCTATGTTTCAGTTACCCATGGTCAACTGAGGTCTGAAAATATTAAGTGGAAAAATTCCAGAAATAAGCAATTTATAAGTTTTAAATTTTATGTCATTCTGGGTAATGTGATGAAATCTATCCCCCTCAGGATGTGAATCATCCCTTTGTCCAGAGTATCTACTCTGTATACACCACCCCCCTGTTCATCACTTAATAGCCATCTAGGATATCAGCTAGAGTACTGAGGCATTGCAGTATTTGTATATAGGGTCTGGTACTATTGGAGGTTTCAGGCATCCACTGGAGGTCTTGGAACATATCTTCCATGGATAAGCGGGGACTACTGTACCTCCTTGCCCATGCATGATTCAAGTACTCAACAAGCTCATCTGGAAGCGTGGCCAAGAATCTGACAGAGGAATTGGGAAAGCAGGAGCATTCAGGAGTCTCTTAAGAAGGTTGGACATCTAGACATGCCTCAATGTCACTGGGGATGTGAAAGCATGGCGGTCCACCTAGATTAGCTTATGAAGCCAGAGACGGGGATGCTAAGTTCTCTGAATCCAGTGCTTTACTCTTTCACTATGCATTTAGGCTTTGGCAAAGATCTTGAAATATTGGCAACTAGAGGGAAATAACAGTACTGAAGAAATATCAAAGTCCTACATTTCCACAACTTCTCTCTCATTGGCCTCTCTGACTTAAAGGTACTAACTACTTTTCTCAAAGCACTTAATCTCTTTCCTCAGCTTGAGACTTCTGTTCTAAAAAATAATTGTCTTTTTCTTACGGTTCAACATCCACAGTCTGCTCTCCAGGCCCTGGGGTGATCGTCATGTTGCTGCCATCAATGCTATCTGAAACAAACAACAACAACAAAACCTGAGGTTACTGGCCAACAGGGAAGCAAGGCTGAAGAAACTGAAGCAAATGAGCTGTTAACCTACCAGTTATAACAGGCCTACTCCTCCACCCAACCCATGTCCTTCACCAGAGAGTTGGATGCAATGTGGTTCTAGTGGCTCAAGGCCAGCCATTTCTCACACAGGTTGAGAAACCTGTCCCACACTGGCCTGTTAAGCTATGGTGTGGTTCCTATGCAAGTATTCTTGCTCTAAAAAGAGATCTTGACCACAGGCCTCTCATGTTTTGTTTTGGTAAAGACTTAGTCTTGCTATGTAGCCCAGTAGCTCAAAAGTAGCCTGGAACTTAAAAGATTCAAAGTGATCTTCTGCCTCAGCCTCCTGAGGAGCTGGGACTACAGGGTGGCACCATGACACTCAACTTTTCATGCTTGATCTTTATAAAGCCTGCTAAAATGTCAAGGCCTGGTCTTGCATATCACACCTAATCGCTACTAAATGTTTATTCTATGTCTTCCACCATCATCCAAGGCAGTCTGAGCATGTGCACCTAAAACTATTTCCTCATCTCAAAGAGGTGGTAGGGATCACATCACTTTTTTCTCTCAATGAGACTGTGATTCCCTTGAGGATGAGGGCTGTATCTAATTCCACAGAAATCGGTGGGGTCATTCATAGATAGCTGAAGAGCCTGAGCCCCCCACCCCCACCCCGCCCTGGGCAGGACAGTACCCAGCACAGACAGGGATGGGGCTGACGGGCGACTCACTGGAACGGCACAGCAGCACCCGCGGGGTGGGCGTCAGGGGCGTGAGGGGCAGCTGCGGGTGGGCGCCAGGGCCGTGCCCCGCGATGAGGACGTTGCTGAAGAGCCCCGAGCCCTGGCGCACTGGGCTCAGCATGGGAGGGGGCGTGTAGGGGGGCAGCTCGTGGGTGGGGTCCAGCAGCAGATGGTCCCCGAGGATGCGCGGGGAGCGCAGCTGGCTCTGGTACAGGGTGGCGCCGGAGTAGGAGGCGGGGTTCGGGGTGTAGGAGGGCGGAGGCGGGATGAAGAGGGGCTCGGGCCGGTGCCGGAACTTCTTCTTCTCCTGCACGGTCTTGAGGGGCTCCTCAGCCTTGGCCACGGCGGGCTGGTGTTTCCGGGGAATTTCCTACAGACGGGACAATGACCTGATTCAAACAGGCTGCCCCGCCACAGGCCAGCCCCACGGGTGCGGGGAAGGGGTCTCTATGGGGACGGACTCCCTTCCGCTTGTCCCCCTCCCGCTCCCACCACATCCGCTTCGGCCAAGGCGGGTTCTGGTGGCTGGGCCAGGAAGAAATCGAGGGTCTGGGAAGCCGCCCCTGATGTCCGGAGAGAGCCGGGGGTAACGGGAAGGGTGGGTGGGCGAAAGAAATCAATTCAGATTCTCTTGGCTTCTCACTACATTCCCATCTGCATGAGTGGAATCCAGCTGAGTGGGCTCCGCGGGGACAGCGAGCCCATGTTCTGAGAAGGGGGCAGAACCATCCGCTCAGGGCAGCAGGGCAGAGGGGCGCAGCCTGGCAGGGCTCCCAGGGCCGGCGACCCTCACTGGGCTCTGCTGTGATCCCGAAGGCCCAGGCCCACTGCGACCCCGAAGGCCCCGTTCTGGGGGTCTGCTCAATCTCCCCCCTGCCCACCCCTCACTGCTGCACTGCACTGCAGCTCACTTGTAGCAAGCCCTCCTCCTGGGCTGGTTTCCTGTCAGCAGAGTTAGTTTATTTTATGGCAACGGAACCAAGCTTAGTCTGGAAGGAAGATCTGCCACATGGATACATATATACTCAATAAGTAAACACATGCACGTCAATAGAGAAGCAGGGCATGCCAAAGCCAAACAGAAACAGACTTGGGTTGTGTGCCAGCATCAGCCCTGAAAGGTCAAGGGCTGATGTGGGTGGGGGAGGCGGCAGGGATACCTGTGGAAAGGTTCTGAGCAGTCTGAGGTACCCTCCTGAGCACTGCAAGTCAGGTGCCAGTCACAGCTGCAGTTCCCAGCAACCCCTGTGCCCAGGGTGGCGCCTGATAGGAGCAACAGCAGGGGGTGATGGGAAGGGCTGGCCATGGTCATGTGACAGGCTGCCTCCAGACCATGTGACTTGCCCCACTGGGCCCCTCATCTCTGAGCTCCTCCTGCTTGCAACAGGCTCTCCCTCAGCATCCTTGTCTTCCAAGGTGCCTTGCCAACTTCTAAGACCGGAGTCTAGGAAGGCAGAGAGCTGGGGAAAGAAGGCAGCAGAGGGTCTCAGGCTCCAGGCTTCAGTGTGGAGGTTCCTAAGTCCTGCCTCAGCCACAGGGGGCTCTCAGGCCACAGCTCCATAGCCCACCTCTTCTCCCCACCAGAGGGCTCCTCACCGCCTGAGTCTGCGGGGTAGAGGCTGAAATGAAGAGAGGTTGAGGGAGAGAAAGGAGGCTGAGGTGGACAGAGAAGGCTGAGATGGAAAGAGAAAACTGAGGTGGAGAGGAGGCTGAGGTACAGAGAGGAGGCTGAGGTGGAGAGAGGCAGCTATGGAGAATGGAGGAAGGAGGCTCAACAATTCCCTGCCCAACGCCAACTGAGGAGCAATCCTGAAACTTTAGCCCTGTTTCTGGTTGACTGATGAGGTCATGTAAGTACACTCGGACCTCACAGTGATCTCAGCTCTGCCCTGGAATCTAGACTTTAGATCACAGGGCCTGAGGTCCCTTTTGGGCTCTCTCCTCCAGCCTCCTGTCCTGCTATTCCACCTCTGTTCTAGGATTTTCTCATCCTCCAGGCAAGGCTCTGAGCCACTTGGACCAGAGAAGCTACTCAGAATGTCACACTTGGCTGTCATGTGACAGGAAGTATTTACAATGTTCCACCCCACTAAGCTATCTGGATTCTGGAAGTGCAGACAAGCACCAAGAGCTTTTAAAACCTTCTGGCTACAACATCATGTACAACCATAAAAACTGTACTCCATGTAGGTATGATATGTCAAAATACATTTTATGGTCCTGTATAACTAAAAAGAACAAATAATAAAATAAAAGAGCTTCTGGCTACAGAGAACTGGGAGAACTATTGATGAGTCCAACCTTCTCTAGTTCAAGGGATTAAACCAATACTCTCAGAGGGTAAGGGGCTCAACTGCCCTTGTCCTATTTGGTGAGACACAGAGCTCAGAATTCAAGGCTCCTCCAAGACATTTTAATTTCTTTACATTGCGTGCCAGGATCTTGCTCACATTCATTCAATTCCACCCCCATGTTTCCACTTCAGCCTATCTCTCGACTTAGAAAGTCTCTTACCCTGCAATTAAGCCAACTTCATCCCTCCCTTCAAAGCCTGCTCAGAACTTCCCTACAATGATCTCCTGTGCAAACTCACACCAAACTCCCTTGTCTGTCCCTAGTGCCTCATTACTTCAGGCCACCTGGTGTACAAACACACCTTGATTTATGATGGGGCTATGTTTCCATAAACCCATTATAAGTATTTTAAGTGGAAATGCATTGAACACCCCTAACCTACTGAGCATCCTACCTTAGGATCATAGCGCACTATGGAGTCTTAGTTATTTTCCCTAGAGATGACAGGGCTGACTGGGCACTGTGGCTTGATGCCACTGCCCAGCATTGTGAGTGAGAACTGAACTGCATATGGCTAGCCCAGGAAAAGATCAATATTCAAAATTCAAAGTATGGTTTCTACTGAATGCACTTTTGTACCACTATAAAGTTGAAAACTTGTAAGGGGACTATCTGCATTGCCATCCATCTCTTCAGCCACCATCTTGAATGAATGAGGCTTGGTTGTGCTGCCTGGACTGTGACTACTGTGTGACTAGGAACCCTTGACTGAGATTTCTCCAAGATTAAACGCAGTGCATTTAAATCAGGAACTTCCCTGAGCAGAGAGGTGGCTTGGATATGCCATTTCATCTCTGCCTGTTGCTGACGCCCTCCTGTCATCTTCTGAGAAACAGGTTCTCTATCAGTCTCTCTTCTGAGGCCTTGGTATCACATAGAACCAAACTGTCTCTTTCTGGACTTTCCTAGTTCCCTTAATTGTGCTCTCCAATCCTATTCTGGCTCAACTCTACTCTCATTGCCTCCTGGATTCTCAGCAACCATCTATTCTCTAAGGAGAAACAGGACCCAACACACTACTCTGTGGGAAGGGACAAGTGTGATACAGTCAGTCTCCCCAGGAGAGAGAGAGAGAAAGAGAGGAATTTGAGGAAGGGAAGGAGAACGTTAACAGTTCAGTGAGAAACACAAATCACTTTGCTTTCCTGAGATTAGGGGTAGGTGGCTCTCAGCAGAACTACTTTGGGAACTTGAACAAATTGGGTTCTCCAGGGTATTTAAGCAGATGTGATGTTGAAAATATTAAGCATGTGTTAAGGCTGATCATCAGAATAGATGCCAGGGCTACAGCCTTGAGGCCCGGCAGTTCCAGGGGTTACCTCTTTGATGGCTGGATTTGGGGAGGTCTACTGGTCCTGGGAAATAGTCAGGGCCCTGGGCAAGAGTTGATATTACCTGGAGAAATTATCCCATATTTTAATAACTGGCATGGTTGTATTGGTGACTTCCAACCAAATTATCCTCTGTTTAAGCCTGGGAACACCTTGAAGTGTCCAATGCAGCCCATCAACCTGGAAGAGTAACAGGTGTTTAATGGGCAGTGGGCAGGTGGCCAGGGGGGCTCAGCCCCAAGAGGAGGTCAGGTCAGTGACTCTGGAAGAGCTATCCCCATCTCCAAGAAAGCAAAGGGATGTCCCCACTCCAGGCAGGTGGGGCAGAGCAGCAACTCACAGCAGGCGCGTGGGGGGCAGCCCCCTGGGGGGAGTGAGGGGGAGAGAGGGTCATCCTCACGAGCACAGGCATCTCGTCGTCCGACACCGAGCTGGCTGGCTTGTCTCTGGCGGAGGGGACGGCAACGACGCTGTTGGTGAACCCCTGAGAGCTGGGCTTGGGCGGGAGAAGCTTGACAGGGACAGACACGGGCATGATCATAGGCGTGAGGCTTTCTGCCTCGGGAGGGAGCTGCGGTGGCGGTGGAGGCGGAGGCGGCAGTGGCGGCTGGGGCGGAGGCGGCTGGGCCTTCTCTCCTTCCTCCTACACAGACAATAAAGGCTTTGATCCTGGGCTGAGAGCAGCTCTCCCAAAGGGGATGATGCACTTGCTTTTCCCAAAAGGTTCCAGGACATCAGGCGTGGGTGACAGGGAACCACCGCTGGTGGTTTCCTTCCTACAAGCCTGGGTCCCTAAGTTTAGTAATGGCAGTTGAGGTAGATAAGGCCATGCATTCTGTTTTCTACATTTAAAACATCTTGACCATATAACACTTGTATGTTAAAATATTTTTTAAAATTTTGTGGCTGTCATTGCTTTTAAGGACAATGACACTGACTTGTAATCAGTAAAAACAAAATACGTGATCTTCTGTAGGAGCGTTTAATTCCATGGGCTTCAGTTTTCTTATGTCAGGCTGAAATTGGCAACCTATCCTATATTTTATTTGGGTTAAGAAATCACACTGAAAATGCAAAACCTGTTATTTTTTAAAAAGTGAAGTTCTTTTATCTGGCCTGGCCAGGAGATGAACAGATCTGGGTAATCCACATTTTGATTAACACAGAAATAATCTCTTAGACTTTAAGATCACGAAATTCTGAGAAAATTCTTTGAATTTTAATTAACTTAATTAATTCATGGACAGTATACTACCTAGATATTCTACGTGGATAATCCAGAGGGTGTTTAAGGCTCTTTGGATACTAGAACCAAACACCTTTGCACTGGCAAACACAAAATTCTGGCTGAGTGCCTGATGGTTACATCCTCTTTCCTTGGCCACTGACCACTGATCTTGAAGGCCCTAATGGCCGTTGACTTGGGTCTTTCAAGCAGCAAAAATTAAAAATAAGGTGGCATTTACATGTGTGGGTTTTTTTTTTCTGTCTTCTCTGGGAAGTAGAGGGGCCTCTATTTGACCCTTCTTTGTAAGGCCAGGGAAGTAGGGCTGTTGACCTGGCTGGTTCCCAGCATCCAAGCTGAAGTCTTATCTGGTTTGGGGAGAACTATGCCTCCCCAGGTGCCCACATAGGGCTCCCATCCCAATTTCTCACACAGTTTTTTCTGACGGCGGCAAAGCAAAGCAAGCAGCACATGGTTTGAGAAGGACCAGGGACTAGGTCCTGCTAACCTGTTTGAGGCTGGGGGACGCCCTCATTCCACCGTGGGACCGCATGTGGCCATTCAGGGCGGGCAGGCTCTTGAACTCCTTCAGGCAGATGGAGCACGTCAGCTTGCTCTTGGCATCAAACTGTTCCCCAAACACTCCTTTGGGTTGGCCACTGCTCAAGGGGTAGGGCCAAATGGAGAGGACACACACACATTGAGGAAGGAGAAACAGCAGTTTATCACAAGACCTCTCACCCACAGCATACTCATTTTATTCTTCCAATGCTCCCCTGTCTGATGCCCAGAACCCTTCAGAGAACCAAGCCCAACTTGATGAAAAACTGAGGCTCAGAGTGGGAAAGGGCTTTCTTAAAAGCATATGAGAGTTGACCAACACATCCTCCTTATCCCAGGCCTTCAGGAACTGGGGTTCTCCCACCGAGGGTTTACTGCCCTTCCAGAGTCAGCTTGAGCACACCTCCTCTGAATGGCTTCTCTGAGAGACACTTAAGTCCCTTGGGGTAAGTCCCCTGGGGTAGTCTGTACCACATGTTTCAGCAGTCTACAAGGATCTGGCTTCGTCTTTAATTTTTCATCATGGCTATGAGAAGAGGGAGCCAGGCTACGGTATTACCACTGCATTCTCAAAGCCCAGCTCTGTGCCTGGCACACAGCAGGCACTCAATAAATCCTAACTGATTAAATGGTTATTGAATGCTTGCTATTTTGGAGGGGGGTGGTTGTTGGGGATTGAACCCAGGGCCTTACATACGCAAGGCAAATGCGTTACCACGGAGGGCTTCCTACTGACAAGGCACATGATAACCACTGTGTTATTTCACTATACACAATACACGGTGCCAAGCACACAATCACTGCTCAAACACAACTGCTATTATTATTCCTATGCTTCTTTGAAAAATTGACCCTGAATTTAAAAATTAATCATGAGAAACAACCCAGTAAAACTCCCAGTCTCCGAAAATACCACCAAGCCTCCATTCATCCTACCTTGACTCAGGGGACCCCGGCTGGGCTCTCCCATCAGGTAGGTGCATCTAATTGTGAGCCAAGCAGGACACCGAAAGAAAAGAAGAAAGAGAAAAAAAATTGTGTTTCTGAAGTGGGTTTTTTTGACCCATGTGAACACTAGGGCCTAGCCTTCCAGAGCTTTCCCACTCCCAATGACCCTGCTCATGCCCACTTAAGCCTTCACTCTTCTGCACCTGATTTCCTTCACTTATATGCCCCTGACTAGGGACCACTGCCCTCTTCCTGGAGCAGCCATAAGCCCACTAGGATGCAAACTTCCTCCACCTTTCTCCCAGTGCATCCACTCTGTGCACAGACCAGGCACCATCCTCATGCCCACAGAGGAAAGCTGGATGACTCAGCCTCAGGCCCCGAGACCACATGCAGGTTTCTTTTATAAAACCTTTAAAAGCCCTGGCCATGGACTCTCATCCTTCTATTCACAAAGGCCCTCACAGACCCAGTTACTACTTGGTCTGTGTCCCCGATGAAACAAGGTCCAGAGCAAGTTCACCTGTGGCCTTCAGCTTCCCTTAAGCCCTTTCTCCACCCACTAGTTCCAGATTGGGGTCCCCTTCTCCCAAGACCCTGTCGCACAAGTCTGTAGCACTTAGAACATGCCTAAGTACTCGGTGCACACAGTGGTCATTATCAGAACTAACCAAGAGTTAATAACCATGGCTCACAGACTCAATCTGGCCTGCAGACATGTTTTATTTGGCTAGATTGTTTTTTAAAAAATTCTGAATGAGACAGGGTGTCTGCTGTCCAGTTTACTACAGTCTCCACCACTACCAATTGTCTCATACCAGGCCATTTTGCTTATTCCTGTTACCATCCTAGATTCTGTAACAGCGAAGGTTCAATTCTGCAACTATATGAGCATCCCCTTTGGGAGAGTCACAATGCACACTGGCACATTAAAGGCTCCAAGAAGCCCTACAGTATAGCAACCTCTACCCTGAGAAACTCCAAATTTATCCAACAAATCCATTATTTCCCCAGCAATATCCATTAATATTCTGTAGAACTGCTGTTCTGAACTTTGAGAGATGCTGTCATAATGGTCCCAAAGGGGTATCAGTTTCATAGGGATTACCCAGAGGATACAAATTTAAGGGGGTGAGACACCCATCCTCACTGTGTGGTCCCTGGCGTGTAACTCAAGATCTTGATCATTACATGAATCACTTAGGATATGATACAGTATTTTGATCATCACCTTAGTGAGATTATAAGCTCTATGGGCAAAGGACTGAATCAAAACTGAGCGCCCAGCACAGACAGTGTCTGACACATGTAGGTTAATGTTTATGAAACATATAAAGAAGAAAGAGGTTGATAGGTGGACAGAGGATTGGGCACTGCAGAGGCTCAGCCCTGGCTAGCCCTGTAACAAACTGAGATGGGGGAGACACTTCCACTGTGAGAATACCTGGGGCCACATGGCACTGGGAGACGGCTGCTGATGCTGAGGCCCCATGTTGTTGAGGTGGATCCCACTGGGGGAGAGGAGTGGTCGATGGGGGAGGGCACTGCTAACCCGGGTCAGGTCCGAACTTGCTGGGTCTCCCATTCCTGTATCAGGAGGCCCCAGATCCTCGTGGGAGCTCAGCATGGCTGGGGCCTGCCTGTCACTAGAATAAGTCTTCAGTTGACTGTCCTCACGCTGCTGGTGCTGGGGCAGGTGGCTTTGCTGGTAGAGGGGGTGGCTGTAGGGTTGCTGGGGCTCTTGGTAGTAGTACTGGGGCATGGAGCCCAGATGAATCAGCTGAACAGCGTGTGCCTGCTCCGGGGTGTACTGATGAGGGTCCCTGTGGTAAGAAGGGGGCTGCAGATGCACTGGTTGCTGCTGCTGTTCTTGCAAGTGTTGCATCATGGGTTGGGGCTGGTAATACTGAGGTATCTGCATTGAACTCTGCCGCTGCTGCAGTGGTAGCTGCTGTTGCGACTGCGGCTGCGGCTGAGGCTGTGGTGGGCGAGTCTGTTGCTGTTGCTGCTGCTGCTGCTGCTGTTGCTGCTGCTGCTGCTGCTGCTGTATTTCTTGCATGGAGATCCGCTGCTGCCCTGCTTGCTGCTGTTGCTGCTGTGGATAATACTGGTGCTGCTGCATCTGTTGCATGTGCTGTGACAGCATCTGTGGAGTTTGCAGCGGCTGGCCTCCCTGCATTGGCATCTGAACCAGTGACTGCTGGTAGTCATAATACAGGTGCCCTTGGGACGGGTGCTGCCCAACCTGAAAGGCTGGTTTGGACAATCCCCCAGTGAAACCAGGGTGAGCCTGCTGGGCCACCTGCTGGTAGCGGGAAGGTATAGCCGGTGCTGGGGGCTCCATGGGCTTCTGAGACAGCAGCTGGCGCAGGGCACTGTCAGGGGCTCCATCCATCACTGCTGACTGGGTGTGCAGCACCTGGGCCATATTGTTGACCTGAATTCGCAGGTTTTGGTTGGCAAACACCTGGGTGAAAGAGTCCAGCTTGTGTAAGACACCACTGGTGAGCTTCTGGGTCCGGATCTCACTGGCTTGGGAGTAGGTATACTGGTAGCCATCAGCGGGCTCCACCTGGGCTGGTGCCCCCCACATCATATTTGAGTTGGCCAGGTTGCCACGTAGCTGGACATGGTTTCCAGGCCCTGCATGGCCTCCCCACCCTCCCTGCCTCGAGGTATCCATTTGGCCAAGGTTTTTGGAACCAACAGGTAGGCCCAGACTATCCCGAGTATCTTGAGGGAAGTGGGGGGAGATGGGCGAGGCCTGAGCGGCATCCATTCCACCCCCTGTGACTGTATTCCCATAGTTGTGGTTCAGCCCACTGTGGACACCAAGGGGTGGCTGTTGGTAGAAAAGGTTCTCACCACCATGGGCCACGTGGTTGGTCTTGTACAGTTGCTGATCTCCCATGGTGTCTGCCTTGGTTATGAATGTCCAGCCACAAAACCATAAAAAAAGGTAAATGAAGAAAACCCAAAAAGACGGAAACCCTGAGAAGCTGAGAGAAAGCGTCCACACTACTCCATGGCTGACATGTCTGTAAAGGAGGCTGGAGCCAGGGGTTCCTCTTGGCCTGTACCACTCATCTGCAGAGCCCGGGGTTTTACATCCTCACCCGAGCTGAGGTATGGACCAAACACCACTGTGGTGAGGAGACGCTGCTCACACCTGCAAGACAAGACACAAAGGAAACAGTTTACTTAGATGTTTCATGACAAGCAATTCTCTCCATTACAACCAGTTATAAAAAACAAATATAAAATAGGACATTCAATTAGAAACAGCCAGTGTCATACATTTCACATCCTTTGCAATGGTTCTGCTCGTCTGGACTCTCCCATGAGGTGTCAGAGTTCTCTTACTTTCAAGCTACTGTTCAATGGCTCATTAGTTCATTGATTTGTTAATTTACTGTTTTGTTCATTGATTAATTCACCCGTTCTTCTGGGACCTTGCTATTGCAAATCTGGCACTATTTTAGGACCTGTGGGGGATATGAAGGAGTTTAGGACATGCAATTTATCTGTTCAACAAATATTTTAGACACCTATCAAGTATAAACTTGATGCTGGGAGATGATTAAGACATGGACCCAACCTTGAGGGGCTGATAGTTAGAAAAGGTGATGGGGTACATAAATCACTACAACACAAAGAGGAAAGATCTGTATGTGAAAAAAAAAAAGTAAAGGTGAAAAAAGGAGATTTGGGAATTCAGAGACTAGAGAGCCTATTTGCATTGCAGCAGAATAGAACTGGAGAGGGGTTGGAAGGAGGAGTAGCTGGATCATCAGCTCAACCTAACAGTTGCCTGGCTTCTCTGGTCCCTGCTCAGGGAAATGCTTCTACCTGGCCAGAAGCTTATGCCATGATCTGGCATAAAAATGTTGTCTGGATCAATAAGTTTTCCTCTTTGAGAAACTTGAACAGGAAACTGGAGAGATTGGTCTGGTCTGGTTTGAGTCCATTTGGGTTCTTGAGTATCGACTTCCAACTGGGTTGTGAACTTCTGGGAGCACAGGAGGACTCTCCAAGCACTGCACACACACCTGAAGTTTTGTTGGGCATATGGTTTTTTGCAGTCATTGGGATTGAACCCAGGGGTGCTCTACCTCTAAGTTACACATACCCAGATCTTTTTATTTTACTTTGAGATAGGGTCTCTTTGAGTTGCCCAGGCTGGCTTTGAACTTGTGATCCTCCTGCCTCAGCCTCCTCAGTAGCTGGGAGTATAGGTGTGCACCACGGAACCCAGCACACCCCTAAAGTTTTAAGAGAATCAGTTTCCAAATCTTCAACTTCTCTGGGAGCTCCTTTCTGTATCTGGAGAATGAGAGAGGTACTGTAGTCCTTTGATACCTGCTCTTTCATAATTGCTCTCTTCCTTTACAAAAAGAGAAGTAAACTCACCCATCCGATCCCAAATTTTAACCAGACTTACTGGTCCAGAGAGAAACCCACTATGTCCCTGATCCGACTCCCACTGGCTGCCACACAAGAGGACACTTAGAAAATCAAGAAAGCAAGCACAGGACTAATAATGCAATCTCTCCAACAGGAACAGTTTCTAATTTGGGGGGTGGTGGTGGGGATGGCTACTGGGGATTGAACCCAGGGGTGCTCTACTATCAAGCCACTTCCCCAGTTCTTTCTATTTTTTGAGACAGGGTATCAATAAGTTGCCAAGGTTGACCTTGAACTTGTGATACTCCTGACTCAGCCTCCAGAGTAGCTGAAATTATAGGCATGCATCACTACAACCAGCTTCTAGTTCTTTTTTTTTTTAATTAGGAAGTTCTAATTGAAATAATTCAAATATGATTTTTTATGCCTTTATTTTATTTGCTTGTATTTATATGGTGGAACCTGGTACCTCACACATGCAAGGCAAATGCTCTACCAACTGAGCTACAGCCCCAGCCCTCAAATATGATTTTTTGGTGATGGATCACTTTGTGAATTTTGGTATACAACCCAGAAGCAGATCAAAGAGTCAAGTGACCCTGCTCTGACAAAATTTGTGTTTCTATGTGAATGAGGGTTTTCAGTGTTTACACCTACATAAAATGAAAAATGGAAATATAACAATGCTGATCTTTGTCTCATGCTAGCAATAAATAATGGTCTTACATGGATAAATAAATAAATTGCAGAAACATGCCAGCGCTAACCCTGTGTGATAATACCTGGGCATGCATGCTCTGTGATAATTCAAACTGTACACTATCTGGTCAGATACAGATATGTATGTTGTATATCAATAAATAAGTCCTTTTTATTTTTTATTTATTTATTTATTTTTTTAATATTTTATTTTTAGTTATCAGCGGACACAACATCTTTGTTTGTATGTGGTGCTGAGGATTGAACCCGGGCCGCACGCATGCCATGCGAGCGCGCTACCACTTGAGCCACATCCCCAGCCCCAAATAAGTCTTTTTTAAAAAGCCATCTACTATCACCATCTCATTAAGAGAAATATTTTCAATATAATTTTATTTTTATGTTTATTAATTAGTTATCCAAATTAGTAATACATTTGTGTTGTTCTGATCAATTATGTACTGTTAGTAATTGTAACGATAACTCAAGCCAGAAGAAAAATCTTAATGCATAGAGCTTTATGATTTTAGGAAATTAAAAAAGTTTCAACTTTATATAAGTCATCCCAGAGAAATATGACGGGGACACAAATGAAAGAGTTTTAAGCATAAAAATATATTACATATATAAAATTAGGATAAAATTCCACGGGGAAACTGAAATGGAAATAAAATTTTAAGGAGAAAAAGAACACAGACTATTAAAGAAGAGCATGTTCGTGCGGTTTTTGAAGTGGAGGATAGTGGGTACTGAGTTGCTGCGGTGTTTAGATTCCACTGGATAAAATTAAAACAGTGACGTCATAGTTTTACTTAAAAATATCAATGTTTACAACATTCTAGAGATCGTATCTTTTGCAAACACATGATTAAAAAAAAATGTAAATGTAAACTTAAAAATGGGTGAGAGAGGAGCCCGGCGTGGTGGTGCACGCCTGTCATCCCAGTGATTCAGGAGGCTGAGGCAGCAGGGATTTCAAGTTCAAGGCCAGCCTCTGCAACTTACTGAGGTCCTAAGCAACTCAGTGTTGCTGTCTCAAAAATATAAAATAAAAAGGGCTTGAGACGTAGCTCAGTGGTAAAGTGTCCCTGGGTTCAATTACCAGTATTTTTTTTTTTTTTAAAGGTGAGGGGGTTCATGGAAGATTTTTTTTTTTTAAGTAGAAAAATCTGGAAACTACTGCAGTTGTCCCCTTCCACTTGGGAGTGAGCTGTGTTGGTCTCGGTCCCTTTCTGAACTATAAGAGAAAGAAATGGAAAATTTGTGCTCAAGGGGTTTGGCTTGATGGGATGAAGAGGGGATGGAAGGAAGCAGAGGAAAGAGTCAAGGATGGCCACAGACAGCTGGGGCAGGACCTGAGCTCAAAGTGACGCTGGGAGCAATGAATGGCCACAGAGCACGAGGGCGCTGGGTATGAGAATGCCAGAAACAGGGAGACCAATTCTCCTGCTTCCAAAAAGGTATAGGTCAGAAATGCAAAACTACAGCTCCAGCAGAGACCTCCTGAATCAGAATCTGCATTTTATCAAGGGACCCCCTGCCCCCAAGTGATTCGTGGACACCTAAAATCTGAGAAGAACTGGATTAGTGGGCTCTTGCTGCATACAGGTGACAGAGAGTTAGAACCTGAACTCAGGTAACAGTGAGTAAGGAGAGAGAGAAATGAGGGAAACTTCCCCTATGCTGCTGTTAGGAAGTCACTTTCTTTCCTCAAAATGCTCTGCCCTTCCGGGGCTTGTGACAATCTGAGAAGACACCTCCTCCCTTCCTCACATGGACTCTCTCTCTTAGTAGCCTCATCGATGGCCCATCCCCTGTGGTCTCCCAGTGATTACCCCAGCTCATTTGATCTGAGCTCCTAGTCAGCTACCTAATCCACCTCACCACTGCCATGTTCAAGGGAATTCAACATCAACTTCCCCAAACTGGATGCTGTATCAAGGATCTCTTTCCTTGAATTATGTTCCCTCCTGGTACAGGACCTTTGCACATGCTGTCCTCTCCCTTTCTTTATTTAAAGAACTCTTCCCTTTCCTACCTCCTCTCCATCTATCCAGTACTCACTTTTGAATCTTAGTTCAAACTATATTTTCTCAGAAAGTCCACCGTGACCCCAAGTCTACACCAGGTCCCTTTCTTATACATTCTCATAATACTCTTCCTCAGACCATTCTTCCTCAGAACATTCTTCTCAGTTTTTAATTGTACTTCCACCAGTGCAATTATCTGATTAGTGGATTTTTTTCTATTGGAACCAGGTCTGGTTTTTAAACCTCTGATTCTATTTCCAAAACCTGTCATAATGTCCAGCACACCATAGGCCCTCTAATAAGATTTGCTGAAGAAATGGCAATATTTGGGGCTGGGATTGTGGCTCAGCAGTAGAGCTTGCCTAGCATGGGCGGGACCCGGGCTCCATCCTCAGCACCACATAAAAATAAAGGCATTGTGTTGTGTCCATCTACACCCGAAAAATAAATATTAAAAAAAAGAAATGGCAATATTTGTTGAATCAACCAATGAATGTGAAAACCACACATATAAAACAACAACAAAAAAAAACCAGATAACAATGATCAAGTCCCCCATATAAGCAGAAAATGAAATTCTGTATAGGTCAAGCAGATGGTAAGCCCTCTTGGAGAACAGTTAGATTTCACCACGGTCTTGATGGACAAATAGGACCTAAAGAGGTGGAGAGGACCAGGAAGGGGATTCCAGACGAGGGAACGGCATGAACAAGGCCCTGGAGCCCAGCACAGGTGTCCAGGCTGGGATACAATGTCCATGTCAGGAACTCCTCCACCATCAGATGGAATCTGTAAGGTGGAACACCTGCCACAGGTGTTATGTGGCACCCAACGTAATATCCTGTGGGCCTTGGGCTTGGTGATTCTGCAATGCCTCTCCTGGTGTATGTCTCTCTATTCCTCAAAAGCCCTGCCTTAAGTCACCCGTCCCAGGAAGAATGACTTGTTGAGACTCCTAACCCCCACCGTGGCCCTGTGGATGGAATGGAAACTGCATCATTTAACTTTTGTTGGTATGTTTGTTTTGTGAAGTCCT